CCATGTAAGACGTTGTGCTCCAGGAGACTGGAGACTGCCGAGGATTAAGTTTAGAGTTAGTTAATGGTTGTCTATTAAGTTACCCACACAGAATTCTATTGTTGTTAACATGTATTTGCTCAGTAAATACAAAGGGTGCCCTCTCAGCACCACTCTTGTGCGCTTAAGCCTTGAGTCCCCTGGCTGGTCCTTTCAGATCTTTGATACCTCATCATGTCTCCTCCCTTATCTGCAGGTCAGAAGTAGGGAGGAACCAACACTATATGCTTTTCTCTTAGAACTGCCTTTGCTGAGTCCCACAGAAGTTGGGGCATTGTGCTGTTGTTGTCATTTGTCTCCATGTATTGCTTGATCTCTGTTTTAATTTGGTTATTGATCCATTGATTATTTAGGAGCATGTTGTTAAGCCTCCATGAGTTTGTGAGCCTTTTTGTTTTCTTTGTACAATTTATTTCTAGTTTTATACCTTTGTGGTCTGAGAACTTGGTTGGTAGAATTTCAATCTTCTGAATTTACTGAGGTTCTTTTTGTGGCCTAGTATGTGGTCTATTCTGGAAAATGTTCCATGTGCACTTGAGAATAATGTGAATCCTGCTGCTTTTGGGTGTAGAGTTTTGTAGATGTCTGTTAGGTCCATCTATTCCAGTGTGTTGTTCAGTGCCTCTGTGTCCTTACTTATTTTCTGTCTAGTTGATCTGTCCTTTGGAGTGAATGGTGTGTTGAAGTCTCCTAAAATGAACGCATTGCATTCTATTTCCTCATTTAATTTTGTTAGTATTTGTTTCACATATGTTGGTACTCCTGTGTTGGGTGCATAGATATTTATAATGGTTATATCCTCTTGTTGGACTGACCCCTTTATCATTATATAATGTCCTTCTTTATCTCTTCTTACTTTCTTTGTTTTGAAGTCTATTTTGTCTGATACAAGTACTGCAACACCTGCTTTTTTCTCCCTATTGTGTGCATGAAATATCTTTTTCCATCCCTTCACTTTTAGTCTGTGTATATTTTTGGGTTTGAGGTGAGTCTCTTGTAAGCAGCATATAGATGGGTCTTGCTTTTTTATCCATTCTGTTATTCTGTGTCTTTTGATTGGTGCATTCAGTCCATTTACATTTAGGGTGATTATTGATAGATATGTACTTATTGCCATTGCAGGCTTTGGAGTTGTGGTTACCAAAGGTTCAAGGGTAGCTCCTTTACTATCTAACTGTCTAACTTAACTCTCTTATTAAGGTATTATAAACACAGTCTCATGATTCTTTATTTCTCTCCCTTCTTATCCTTCCTCCTCCATTCTTTATAGGTTAGGTGTTTTATTCTATACTCTTTTGTGTTCCCTTTGACTGCTTTTGTGGAGAGTTGATTTTATTTTTTGCCTTTAGTTAGTATTTGGTTGTTCTTTCTTTGCTGTGATTTTATTTTCTCTGGTGACATCTATTTAGCCTTAGGAGTGCTTCCATCTAGAGCAGTCCCTTTAAAATATCCTGTAGAGGTGGTTTGTGGGAGGTAAATTCCCTCAACTTTTGCTTGTGTGGGAATTGTTTAATCCCTCCTTCAAATTTAAATGATAATCATGCTGGATACAGCATTCTTGGTTCAAGGCCCCTCTGTTTCATTGCATTAAGTATATCATGCCATTCTCTTCTGACCTGTAAGGTTTCTGTTGGGAAGTCTGATGATAGGCTGATAGGTTTTCCTTTGTATGTGATCTTTTTTCTCTCTCTGGCTGACTTTAATACTCTGTCCTTGTCTTTGATCTTTGCCATTTTAATTATTATATGTCTTGGTGTTTTCCTCCTTGGGTCCCTTGTATTGGGAGATCTCTGGGCTTCCATGGTCTGAGAGACTATTTCATTCCCCAGCTTGGGGAAGTTTTCAGCAATTATTTCTTCAAAGACACTTTCTATCCCTTTTTCTCTCTTCTTCTTCTTCTTCTGGTACCCCTATAATGTGATTATTGTTCTGTTTGGATTGATCACACAGTTCTCTTAATATTCTTTCATTCCTAGAGATCCTTTTATCTCTCTCTGCCTCACTTTCTCTGTATTCCTGTTCTCTGATTTCTATTCCCTTAATAGTCTCTTGCATCTCATCCAGTCTGCTCCTAAGACCTTCTATTAATTGTTTCATTTCTGTTATCTCCCTCCAGACTTCATCCCTTAGCTCTTGTGTATTTCTCTGCAGGTCCATCAGCATGGTTATGACTTTTATTTTGAATTCTTTTTTAAGGAAGAATGTTTATATCTATCTCACCAGGCCCTCTCTCTGGGGTTGTCTGAGTGATTTTTGACTGGACCAGATTCTTCTGCCTTTTCATGGTGAAAGAAGTGGTCGCAGGCAGGTGGCTCATGTGTCAGCTGGGAGAAAAAAGTCCCTTCCTGCTTGTTGGTCATCTTGCCCTTCTCCACTGCCTGTGCCATCTACCCGCACACCAGAAGCAGTCTATGGGATAATCTCCTGAGCTACCATGGCCGGGGCAGCCCTCAGGATAGCCTAGCACACTGTGGGGGGTCTCAGTCATGCCAGGTGTGTTCTTCTGTGAGAATGGCGCCCCTTCGTGCCTTCTGGACCTTGCTCCAGCTTCCGCTCTCTGTGCCATCTACCCACACACCAGTAGCCGTCTCTGGGACAATCTCCCGAGCTGCCATGGGCAGGGAGGCCCTTGGGATAGCCTAGCACATTGTGGAGGGTTGCAGCCACGCCGGTGTTCTGTGAGAACGGCGCCCCTTCATGCCTTCTGGACCTTGCTCCGGCTTCAGCTGCCTGTGCCGGTTACCTGCACACTGGGAGCAGTCTCTGGGATAGTCTCCTGAGCTGCTGTGCACGGGCAGCCCTCGGGATAGCCTAGCCCACTGTGGGGGGTGGCAGACATGCCAAGTGTGTTCTCCTGCAAGGACTGGCACCCCTTTGTGCCTTCCGGGCCTTGCTTCTTCTATCTGTCCTGGTTAGCTGCGCGCTGGAAGGAGACTCTGTGTGGTTGCTGTGGGTGGGGCTGTTCTCCACAGCATGGCTATGGTGGGTCTGCTGGTTTGCTTGCAGCGCCAGCCGGGGTGAATGAATGGCAGGCTGCTTATTGCCATAAGGAGCTTTGGGGCTGCTTTACCCCCCAGGGGTTAGGGGCCTGAAGTTCCTCAAGATTCCCAGCTTGCTGGGCTGAGTGTGCTGGGATGATTTTGTCCAGTTGTTGAGCCCTTGTCCCTTTGAGACTTTTAAAAAGCACCCACTTTTCTTTTGTCTCAGGGGAGCCAGCCTTGGGGTACCTGCTCGCAGTCTCCGTCTCAGATTTTACTTTTCTGTTTCTCTAATATCCAGTAGAGCATGCAATGTGTCTGTGCTCCCTGTGCAGATTACTAGGGCTGGTTATTCAGCAGTCCTGTGCTTCCACTCCCTCCCCACTCTGATTCTTTTCCTCCTGCCGGTGAGCTGGGGTGGGGGGAGTGCTCGGGTCCCACTGGGTCACGGCTTTGTATCTTACCCTTTTCATCAGATGCTGAGTTCTCGCAGATTTGGATGTAGACTGGCTGTTGTACTGTATCTTCTGATCTCTCTTTTAGAAATGGTTGTATTTGTTGTATTTTCAAAAATATATATGGTTTTGGGAGGAGATTTCCACCCCCCTATTCACACCACCATCTTGAGCCCCCTTGCTTTTTTCTTTATGAATCTGAGAAGTTGTTTTCTTTGGGTAAATTCCTAGGAGTGAAATTCCCTGGTCAAATGGTATTTGTGTTTTTAGTTTTTTGAGGAACCTCCATATTGCTTTCTACAATGGTTGAACTAGTTTACATTCCCACCAGCAGTGTAGGAGGATTCCTCTTTCTCCTCATCCTCACCCGCAGTTGTTCTTAGTCTTTTCGATGCTGGCCATCCTAACTGGTGTGAGGTGATATCTCATTGTGGTTTTAATTTTCATTTCCCTGATAATTAGTGATATGTAGCATTTTTCCTGTGCCTGTTGGCCATCTGAATTTGGAAGAGCATCTTATATTGAAGTAGTAGGACGTTTCAGTCCTAGAAGGCAACTCAGAAGTAAGAAGCATTTCAGAGCTGCAGGTAGACTGAGGGTCTGGATTTTCAAAAGGCTGGCTTTATTCACTCTGTATTTTCAGTTGCCCTGGCTTATAGTACCTTTCTGTTCCCAGAGCCTGCATATGAGAACTAGAAGAGCCCAAGTTTTTGAAACTATCTTAATTTTTACACAGTCCTTCTAGTGGAAGAAACTTCCGTAAACAAAAACTCTTACTTTCATCCAAGTTACCCCAAAATGCTCCAAAGCCCAGAATTCTATAATTAAGAAGTATTGATGAAGAATGTGCAAAAACTTTCATACAAGTGTTACAATCTAATAGAAATTCTAACTGGCTCTTGTTGATAACAGTTTCCAAGGTGACCAAGACTAGGATATAGTTTGTGTTTGTCTTTTCTTTCTATTTTTAAAGTTGTTTCTCCAAGCATAGCAAAAAATACTGGGAGACCTAAGGATTTAGCATTCTTCTCTATGAAATAGATCCTGCTTAGTCTTTCTCTTTTTTCAAATAAGGAAATCAAAGCAGAAAGAGGCTGGTTTGAAATTATTAATCCCTGTAGTTTTAGAGCCCTGGAGATGTGTGAAGTCAGAAGTCTATTCCCAGCCATCTCCCCTGTAGCTGGAGATTATTGAATTGATGTCAAAGTTCATTATTTATTTACTTCAGAAATATGCAAAATATTTGCCTTCATAATTTCTGTTGAACACTTCATAATTTATGAAGCCATTTCACATTCATTATCTTGTTTTAACTTCACTTTAGCCCTAAGAGATAGGTAGTTTAGATTTTATCATCACTGTTTTACAAATGGAGAGATTCAGAGAAATTAAACCATCTTCTCAAATTCACATAGTCTCTAAGTAGTGGTACTAGAACTGGCTCTCAACCTTCCAGTATCTTTCCATAAGATACGTTGCCTTTGAAGTCTGGTCGGTGCTTCATTGTATGTTTTTTCTTTTAACACAGATTCAAAGAAAGGACTTTTTATTCCCTTCCCCAACCGGGAAATAAAGGATTCCCTAATGAGTACTGCAACACAGGGCAGCAGTATACCAGATCAAAAATTAGACACTTTCCCACTGGGGACACAGGTAATGTATTTGCTTTCCTGCTGATCTGTTGGCTAGTCAATGATTAATACTAATAATTCAGTGGACTCTCAATTATTTATGGTCTATGAGGACTTGTTTGATGAAGGCATTTTAGACCTTTTAAAAGGAAATAGTAGACAGGATACAGAAGACCTTCTCCATTAATTTCAATCTTCCCTTTCCTTCTCCCCTACTACCTGTAATCAAATATAGTACATTTATACATTTAAAGTTATACACTTACATATGCCAGGTATTTTGGCCCTCAAACAGGGATGCAACTGTTAAGAGTCTTTGGCTAATTTTAAAATTTCCCCTCTCTACCCAATGTATCCATCTCCTATTACCTTGCTTCTTACATTTTCTACCTCTGCCTTTAATTACTAAATCTTAACGTCTCAGGATTGGCTTTCCCAAAGCCATTGGAACATAGAAAAAAGAAGTTAAAAGGGATAAAGATGGCATATAAGTTGAGGGCAATAGGGGGTAGAAATCATGCAATATGAGGAAAGAATTAAAAATAAGTTTTTACAACAGCAGATTCACAGACTCCAAGAAGGGACTAGCGGTTACCAAAGGGGAGGGGTGGAGGATGGTGGGTGGGGAGGGAGGGAGAAGGGGATTGAGAGGTGTTATGATTAGTACACATGGTGTGTGTGGGGGTCACGGGGAAGACAGTGTAGCACAGAGAAGACAAGTAATGACTCTATAGCATCTTACTACGCTGATGGACAGTGACTTAATGGAGTTTGTGGGGGACTTGATAATATGGGTGAATGTAGTAACCACAATGTTTTTCGTGTGAAACCTTCATAAGAGTGTATACCAATGATACCTTAATTAAAAAATTGAAATAAAAAATAATAATAGTAATAAAATAAAAATAAGTTTTAGTGAAAAAATTGGTGGAAGGGATACAACCACAATATAAGACTCATTTAAGTGAATATGCTGCAGGAAGCAGAATTGACTACTTTACATTCAACTCTCCTTTGGTCTGTATTTTCTTTGATAACTTATGAGCAATGAGATTACTGAAAATAGCCAGAAGGAGAAAGAAAAGAAGTAAAGGTTCTAATTAATCTACAATTTGGATAGTCAACATTGTACTAGTAAAAAGTAAGATTTTTTTTTGGCTTGAGTTTATAATACTTTCATCTCATAAAAAAGATTAGCATTTAGTTGGTTTCTTTGTTTTTGGAGATTCCACTTGGGTAACTTAGAAACTATGTCAATTACCATTTTTAAATATCTTAGTATTTCTTAAAAGTAAATGGAGACAAAGAATACTTTAATCTACAGATAAAGTTAAACAGCACTTTTTAGATTTAAAAAACCCTAACTCCTTTGAAATTATTTCTTGAAGTGACAGAAAAAGGAAATTCAATAGCTTGCTGTATATCCTTTTAGTTTAAGAAACAAGAAACAGAATTTCTTTCTATAACTACTGAAAAGATGCTGAATACTTGAAGATGATTTTTAAAAAAACAAACCCTAGATATCTCTCTACTTTTTATCAATCCTTGCTTAATTATGCCTTAAAGTAATTTTCAGCCTATCAAAACTCCCAACTGCTCCTGTGATTGATACTTAGATTTACCAAAAGGTAAATAAGTATATGAGATCTGTAAACAGAAAAAATAAAGTTGGAAAGGTTGATGCCATCTAACTTCCATATTGAGCTACCTAAATCAGAGAAAATGCAGTACTTCACTGTTTGGGCTGTCCTTTACCATCTAAGGATGTTTTGTCTCTTCAAAAAGTCTCATTACCTGCTCCAAAGCAACTGTAGAATCTCTTAGTATTGTGGCTATTTTAATATAGGCTTATGCCCAGACCTTTGCTTGAAGATCTCTCTCCCTTTTTTGTAAGGATGGAGTTGCTTACTAATAGGAAATTATTCTGAACCTCTGGTCTAGTAAGCTCATGTCTGGATGCCCATTGACTCCCTTCTCCTAAACTTTCACATTTTTTTAGATGCAGGAAGTGACAAAGAAGGAGATGCCAGGTGACAGTCACCGCAAGGATGGTAAATATTTTGTTCGCTGAGTATTCTCTCCATACTAATCAGAGCAATCTAGATGTGATGGGATTTGGGAGAAGATGGAAATGAGTCAGCTCAGGGACCCTATTTGGTCAACTCTTTTCTGCTTTTGTGAGGGGCTGCCCTGGATGCTTAGTGACCCATGAGGCCTTTCTGGTTGAAAAGTGAGTATTCTGACTTCTTTTGGTTTTGGCTTTTTTTGTACTATCTGACTATTCCTTGTTTGTTTTTCTTACCTTTCTTACCTTCTTTTGTATTTGTTATGTTTTTATTCATCCATTTTTCCCCTCTACTAGTTTATAAGTTATACAGTTTCTATACTTTTGGTGTCATTCCTAAAACTACAATATGTGCCTTTAATTTATATAATGTTAAAAATAATCAATACTTTAACTCTTCATTTGGATAGTTCAAAGATCTTAAAGTTCCTTACCCCTTTTAATCCCTCCTGATTTATGTATTATTACTATGGGCTTTTATTCTTTCTATTTTTTTAAACCCACAAGGTATTACTTTTATGCACTCAATGTTCATCTAAATTTACCCATGTATTTATCACTTTGTTTGCTCTTCATTTCTTTTCTTTTCATCCCAGACTTCCCTTCCAGGATCATTTCCCTTTAGCTTTTATAGTACATCTTTTATAATTTCCTTTAGTGTGGGTCTACTGGTGATGAACTCTTTCAGTTTTTGTCTGAAAATGCCTCTGTTTCACCAACATTCTTGTAGAATATTTTGACTAGGTATAAACTTCTGGAGTGGCAGTTACTTCTTTCAGAATATGGAGGGTATTCCACTGTATTCTGTCTTGTGGGCGTCAGCCAAAAGTCTGTCACTTCTGCAAGGATAGTCTTTTTTTCTCTGATTGCTTTTAAGATTTTCCAATTGTCTTAGGTTTTCTTCAGTTTCACTATGATGTCTGTCTTTCTTTTTATTTATCCTGTTAGGTATTTATTGTATTCACATCTGTGAATTGTGTCTCATTAATTCTGGAAAGTGCTTCAAATACTGTTTATGTCCTATTCTTTCTGTCTTGTCTTTCTGAGACTTGATAAAAGAAATATATGTCAGATATTTTCAGTTTTTCCTCTCTGATACTCTTTTTTATTTTTCATTCTTTTTTTTGTCTAATCTATATTCTGCATAACTTCTGCTGAACCATGTTTAAGTTTACTAACATTCTCTTCAACTGTGTCTAATTTGATATTAAGCTTGTCTACTGAATTCTTAATTTCAATAGTTTTAATACTCATATCTATAAATTTTATTTAGTTCTTTTTCAAATCTGCTGGGTCAGTTAGTAAACACAGCTGTTGTATAGGCTCCATTTATTAATTCCAATATCTGAAGTTTCCCTTGGTTTGTGTTTGTTGTCAAATTTTTTTGACTCATTCTCACTCATGTTGTCTTGTTTCCTTTTTTGTTACTTTGTTTTAGCTATTTGCTGCTATTATATTTGAAAAACTATTTGTTGGAATGATTTAAAGGCTTATATGAAGGTAGCTTTTCCAGATCAGATTTTCATTTTCTTCTACCAGGTGCCTGGGGTACTATCACAGTCTTGGATCACCTTAATCCAAGCTCAAGGCTAGAAGTCCCCTAGACTACCCAGATGATGCAAACCTTGATTACCAGTTAGTACAAGGACTGGTTTATTTCCAGTTTACCCTTACTCTGAAGGTTGTATCCTGCTTAGTGTTCCATCTTAATGTGTGTGTTGGTGGGGGACGTATAGGGGTAGTTTGTCTTACTACTCAGCTTGGATGGATCCTGGACTTAGACTTTTGTCCCTGTTACCCTAAAACTCCTTGTGGTAAGAGTGACTTAAGTGCTAGACTTACCCATATAAATTCGTGGTGTTCCCTAGATTTTGGCTTAGAAATTTTCTGCACCAGCTTGTTAGCTCTTTGATGCTTTTGAGAACATATGTCATCTACTTTTTTAATGTCTTCCACAGGATAGTCTAAATTACCTAATCTCATTACTTGTTCTTAGATTCTTTTTGTCATATAAAGTTATTGCTTTACAGCCTTCTCTCCACTGTATAGTCTGGCCCTGGCTAAAACACTGATATTCTTATAGGTCCTATAGAGATAGGAGGTATTTGTTTCTGTTTTTTACAGTTAATGAGACTAACTCAGATATCATTTTTTTTGTTTCCTAAGGAAAACTTTCGAGCATATGAAGCACTGAAATCCCCAAAGAGCACAAAGACTTCTCTTTTTGTTTGCTGCTCCACTTGCCCCACTCAGGCTCTTTGGAGATGACAGATACAGCTATATGAGAGAAATGCTTTGTATCTGGGTTAGGGGTTTTCATGGCTTTGCATTCCCTGCCATTTGATTGGCATAGGATACTGGTTTTCTGTGCATGAACCTAGAACCTTGAGGTGGAGTTTTGGGATGGGAGTGGGCTTAGCTTTATTTCAAGAAGTCTATGAAGTCATAGACCTGCCAATTATTATCTAGAGACTGAACACAAAAGAGCACAACTATTGTCATGTGGGGTTACACCAAAATTTTTTATGTGAAAATAGTGTCTAGAAAACTATGACACTGTAGTTTTAGGAGGAAGTCTCTAGGGGATTAAGTTGACATGAACTTTATCTCCAGAATGTACATATTCTTTACTGTTTACACAATGTCCAACATGTTTTGTTGTTGTTATGTGTAGAAGCCCTTTCATCCCTTTATGCTACCATTTATCAAAACTGTAAACTGTCTCTTCCTGAGGACTTTTTCTGGTAGATAGAAATATTTCCAGTGAACAGAGGTACCTTAACTGGGCCAAGAAGAATTCTCATTATAGTTTGTGTTTTTTTTCCCCTTGGTGGTGATTAGAATTCAGACACTACTTGCCACGGCAGTCCACAGTCCAATCCCCAGAGAAGATGGCTAGAGAAGGGTACCAAATATCTGTTTTGGACAATAAGTCTTCAGGTTCTTCTCCAGAAAAGGACTTGATACCAAAACCTGATACTTACCAGCTCACCCATGATGCCTCATTGGGTAAACTCCTGGATGTGGGTGATTCCAGCCAGATTCATCCTTATCAGTTGCCTTCAGATGATGGACTAGAAAATCATGATGGTCACCATTGTCAAAATCTTTCCCTGCATGGATGTCTTGGTAAAAGGCCTCAGAGAAACAAGAACTACCAAGAATATGGCATAAAGCCTTCAAATGACATCAAGGGCATCACGTCCCATTCTTGTGGAGACTTACTGACTTCTCTGTCAAACCCTGACTCTAGCACTCGGAGGCTTTTGAAGCTTAGTTCAGGTAATAGCTTCCTGTCAGTTTATAGGCCTTTTTCATAGGCATGAAGATAGAGTTATAACTGAAAATTTTAGAATTAACATTTCTTAAATTGCATTAGCATTTCTTAAATTGTATTTCATGATCACCAGTGGTCCACTGAAACTGCAGAAATCTGCAGGGCATGAGTTTAACATGTTAGGTATATTAGAGAAAATTTGTAGAAATGTGAACTTCATATCTATATGTTATTTTAATTAAATAGCAGCCCAGGATATATTTCTTGTATATCTAATCTCCTCTGGCCAAAGTCACTTTCATTCTGAGCTACTTTTTTAAAAAAAGCTAGTTTCAGGTTTTTCCTGAAAACTAGAGACCATTCTTCAGTTACTTTTTAATTTATTCAACAAAATTTATTAAATTTATGCTGTGTGCCAGATACTGTTCTAGCTCTGCAGATAAACTAGCAAACAAAAATAAAGTTCCATGTTTATTTTACCATAATAAAAAAAAATTGATACTTCCATGGAGCTTCCATTCTAAAGAGATAAGACAGGTGATAAACAAGTTAACATATAAATACATGTCAGGCAAAACACTATGAAGAAAAATAGTATAAGTATATTGGAAGTAATGAGGAGGTGATGTTTTAGACAGAATGCTAGGGAAAGCTTTTCTCGTAAGATATAAGAGTAGACTTGAATGGAATGAGAGTGTAAGCCATGTAGATAACTGAGAGAAGAATCTTCCAGACTGTGGAAAAAAGTAAGTGAAAAGCTCCTGAGGCTGGAATATGCTTGGCATTGTGGCTGCAGAGTGAGCGAGGTAAAATGTGTAGATGAAGTTAAGTAGCCAGACAGTTATTCTGAGTGAGGTCAGAAGATGTTGGGAGAGTTTGTAGCAGAGGAATGACATGCTCTAACTTAAGAATTACTCTGGCTGCTAGGTTGAAAATAGACAATGGGGAGCAAAGATATACATTTTTTTCAATTTAAAAATTAAGATAGTGGTGGAGATGGTAAAAAACAGTCAGATGCTGAATATGTTTTGAACATAACACCCCATGACTTGCTGATGGATTGAGAAAGAAGTGTGAAAGAAAGGTCAAGGGTGACTCCCAGGTTTTGAGTCTGAATAACTGGAAGAACGGAGTTTTCATTTACTAAGATGGGAAAGAGTGGGAGGAATAGGTTTCATAACAGGATAGATATCAAGAGTTTGATATCCTAAGTAAGTTTGAGGTACCTATTAAAACTTTTTATAATTTTGCCTATTTGATAATTAGACGTATTAGTCTGGAGTTCAGGGAAGAAGGTGTGGCTGAGAATTAAAAGTGTATAAGTGGCATTTAAAAAGATTGCAAGAGATTTCCCCGGGGAAGTGACTACAGACAGAAGAGATGTGAGGACTAATCTTGACCCCCCAACAATTATCAATCTGATAGATGAAGAGAAACCAGCATGGAGAGCAAGAAATAAGCAGCCAATAACATAGGGAAAAAAAGCCAACAGGGAGTGGTGTCCTGGAAGCCAAGTAAAGAACGTGTTTCAAGAAAGACGGGGAGTGGTCAATACTATGTCAGATGTCTTTTAATAGAGAGAGAGTGAGCCTGGGACTGAGAAGTGATTGTGTTACTTGGCAGTGCATTAGTGAGCAGCTTCAAGAGAAACATGGTTAATAAAAGCTTTATTGAGGTGAGTTTAACAAAGAATTGGAGGAGAGGCAATAGAGTTTCCAAATATATACAGTCCCTTGAAGGAGTTTTGCAGTAAAGGGGAGCAGAGAAATGGAACTGTTGATGGAGTGAGGACAGGATCAAGCAAATTGTGATGGAAGTGATCCAGCAGAGGAAAAATTAATGATGTAGAAGAGAAAAGTGACAAAAGAGAAAAAGTCCTGGGGTGGTCAAGAGGAGTTGGAATCCAGTCCACCAGTAGAGAAATTGGCCTCAGATAGAATCACAGACAATTCATCTCTTATAACAAAAAGGCAGAGAACTTTTGGGTACAAATATAGGTGAGTTGGTAGATTTAGTGGTGGGATCATGTAGATGTTTTCTTTAACTGCCTCTTTTTTTTTTTTTTTCAGGGAAATAAAGAGATAGTACCTGAGAGAGGTAGGAGGAAGAAAAGAGGAGGAGGGAGGAGAAGGTGTCAGAAGTTTGAGAAGAGAAATGTAAAGTAATTATTTCAGAGAATAGAAGAGTAAATTGACTAGAGTAATGTGTTTGGATAGCTGAACAGGACAAGGGCCAGTTAAGGTCATGAGTTTAAAATGAAGACTGTAAGAAGAGATGCATGTTGTTTTCCAGCCAGTTCCCAAATATAGGCATGAAGAATGTAGACAGTTGGATTTAACCAGACTTGGGGTTTTGTCAGACAGAGGAAAAGAGAAAAAAGATCCTGAGAGTAAGGGGGTATACTAAGGAGAGGTGATTATGACCTTTGGACTCCAGGTGGGGTAAGGATGGAAGTGAGACATAAAAGAGTTGAAGGACAGGTTCATGTCCCAGCCTGTTTCCTTCACAGATCTGTATGCGACAACCCATTTCAACAGTGACCCTGCTCTGCTGTTCAATGTAGAGCAACAATTATCTACCAGCGTCAGTGATTTAGCACCAGTACACGGTTCATTCCCAAACAACTCCATCCTGGGAGACTCTCTTCGAACACTGCTGTTGCCTACTGGGACTTCAGAAAACAGAGAACGTTTGACCAAGAGGTCTCTAAGCCCATCAAGGAGAGAATTCAAGCAGAAGGACAATATCCTTGCCACCCTGATTCCAAAGCATGGTTTCAGAGATGCTACAGGCAGTGAGGCAAGTGTTGGCTTGTTTGTGTTTGTGCAAGAGACATATCAGATCGAATAGAGAATGGGCTTCTGTTGGTGGTGGTGGTGGTGGTTCTGACCAAGAGTGCTACAAATTAAAAGGGATTTTCTGAGGCAGATGGTTAATACTGCCAGGCCGAAGCCTGTGATTCTTCTGCCTTTGGGAAAGTCATTCCCCTCATGCTGCATTTCCTCATTTCTGTCACAGGGAGAAAAGTCCCTAATCTACTTTCAGAGCATAAACAGGGTGGGGAGTACTTTGATAATAAGAAATGGTGGACAACACCTACCACAAAAGGAATACAGAAGTTGCTAGGGGCTCAGGGTTAGCTGAAGAGTGGTCTTTGTAGCAATGATGTTTATGATCTTATCATGTTAACACATTTGCTTGGCCACAAATGGCTAACTTTCTTGAGACCTTTCTTCTAAAAGCATTGCTTTTCTGTCTAGAAATTAAAATTATTCCAGTTTTTTCCTAAAGTAGCAGCAAGCCTCAGATGAGTTAGACTGATTATTCAAGGGATTTTTAGCTAATTGATTCAGAGAATGAATGACAAATCAAGAACCATTCCCACATGTTGGCAGCCGCGCTCAGAAAATAGCGCCCAATGCAGGGCAGCCGGAAGGCCCCGAACTTCCTAATGACAAATCATCCCACACCACTAAACTACATGCTAATTGCGCCTTGGCATAAGGACCAATGAGACCCACCAAATTGTTATGCTAATAAGGCATATGGAGCCGCACCAACCAGGTCAGAGCATGAGAACTATATAAGCAAGCCTCTCCTTCCCCTCTGGGTCCTGCCCAACTCATTTGTTTCACAAAGAGCTGAAGAATAAAGCTTTCTGCAGAAGAATCCTGCTGTTGTTGCGTGCTGTTCTTGCCGGCGAGGACGGGGCGCGCGACACCCACATATACAGTATAATTCATTTTATAAAATTGTAGTATGATAGTGTTGTAAAACAGAAATTTATTCTTCAATTCTTGCTCAGTAACTAAGTTTTGTCACTGCCTTTGCAGACATCCTTTCATGGAGAATGCCTTCCACTGTCATTTCATCTGTTTGAAAATTAATTTTTTTTCAGGCCTTACTTCCATCCTGAAACCTTCTCTCTTTAGCTAAAGGAACCACAGTTCTCAAGGCATTTTCTTCCTCGAATCCTTTGTCATATGAGTCATCTCATCATTTATTTATTGTTCTGTAGGGAAGCAGGGAATTTGGTCAAAAACAACTATTCTAGTCACTTATTTTTCAGTCATTGAAAATCTTTTCACACATTGGCATGGATGTACAAGCGTTTTGGGTCTTGTTTTTGTTTGACTCTTTAAATACTTTCTATTCAGTTTTCAGAACTTTGGAGGTGGTTATAATTTTTGTGCACCAAAGGGGGCAGTCTTGTGATACTTTCTGGGCTTTTTGGTCCCTTTTTTTCCATTTTCAGCTACGGATGCCTACTTTTCCAGACAAGAGCACTGTGTATTAATGTATTTAGTGTGAGGATACAGCGACTCTATATTAATAAGACATCTTCTAGGAAATTTTTTCATCTCTATTTCATGTAATATTGTTAAAACAGCAAATCTCAGTGCACTTTTCTGGACCACCTTAAAAAGTCCCATTTCTTTCTTTTTATATAACATACATATATATAAAACAAAAGATACATTTTTTTTTATATGGAAAAAAATATAAATATTTTTTTTATTTATATATATTTTTTTATGGAAAGTTCTAAGAGCTACTTGAATATAAATGTAAAAGAAATATACTGTTCAATTTCTAAAAAAGGTGTAAATCAGAAAATTATCAAAAGGAGCATTTAAAAAGTTACAAAAAATAATCTCATGATACACATAATTAAACTGAACATAAATTTGTGATTAGAAAATTTATTTTTAACCAACTGACTTTAGAATCATAGATAAATTATAAAAATTAATTTTTAAAAAGCCATGAGGTATAATTTGCTGAAAATTAAAAGACTTGTAAAAAGTACAGAATTATTCCAGTATCCATAAGCATTATCCTCAACTCTTACCATATTGTGATAAAATGAAAGAAAATACATAAAGGCATATGTAAGATTCCAAGTCATCCATGCAACATATAGGATTACCAATGCATGAAAAACTAAAGACAGTAAATATTCATTTTATGTTTATTATGTATTATCATATAAGCTTATTATGAATTATACTATTAAATTGCTCCCCATTTTATTTTTTATTTAAAAAATGTTTTGTAGGTCAAATCTTTTTATATTACATAGCAGAAAATATATTGATCCATGGACGTGGATGTCAAACATTTTTTGTTTTCTTGAAAATCTCTACAGAAAATTATAATAGTACAAACTGCTACCTTTGAGATTATCCTTGAATATGTTATTGTATTTGCCTTATTTAATATTCTATTCAAATCTAAACTGAAAGATGAAACCATCTTGCTTTCTTTTTTTTTTAATGTTAACACTTTAAGTCTGGATTCTTAGTTTCCTTATTGTGTAAGCATGACAATCAGTTGGGGCTTTTTGCTTTTTTTTCTTGAGTCTCTCTCTAGTGACCTGGGCAGTTTTCATGGTTTGCCAGGAAACCATAGTCCCCCAATCTCTGCTAGAACCTCCCATGTGGCCACTGTCCTCAGACAGCTCCTGGAGCTTGTGGATAAGCACTGGAATGGCTCTGGCTCCCTCCTCCTTAACAAGAAGTTCCTTGGTAAGTGCATTCTTAGTTTAGGGTTCAGGCCTTGCTTCTACTCTGTGTTCTGATAAAAGACAGTCAGCCCCCGTAACTTGCAAGGAAAATTGTTCTCATAATCACTTAAAATTTTTCAGTAACACAGTAATTGACAAATCTGTATTTTTCTCATAATCTTCTTCTTCCCTATTTGTTTTTTTGTCAGCACTCTTCCCTCATGTGCCAGTTGTTTTGTTTCTCCTCTGACTTTTGTTTTAGTTTTTTGGTAATATGTAGAGAGACAAGATAAGTAAAATAAAGCATGGTCATGTTAATGGTTACAAAAGAATTTTATGATCTTTGGGAAAGTGCCAAAAATTAATACAACAGAAATTGGGTTTGATCATCACAGTTCTGAGATGCTTGTTGAAATGTTATGATTTGAAAAACTTGAATGACCAAATGAACATACAGGAGAAGAAGTCTTGGCACAGTTAGTTACTTATCCCACATTGACCCTTTACTCTCATTTTGTAGGAAATTATTCCCAGAAATCACTCATCAGTGACTAGAGAATACCACAGAGCCCACACTCGTGAGGGTCTGTTGTTTCTCCATAGAGGATGTGGAATATAACTTCTTATCCATCATGAAACGCCTCTTACAGCCACTTAGTAAATTCTTGTTAAAAAGGGGTATTAGATTACCCTATTTGTCTACAGAGCTGGTAGTTATTGACTAGGAATTCTGTACTTTAGCTTTTAAGATTGGCCTGTGTGCTAAATTTGAATTTTTGGCAGGTCCTGCTCGAGATTTGCTTCTGACCTTGGTGGTCCCTGCTCCTTCTCAGCGGTGGTGTCGCTCACATCCTGAAGACACACCAAAAGCCTTCTGTAGGAGGGAGATGGAACTGAAGGAGGCTGGGCAGGTGGTCCCTAGCGACATGGTGCGCCTCTCTCATCTTCCTTTCCTACTCTTCCTTTGCCATAGAAGACAAAGCAGCAAGACTAGAACAGCTCTGTGTCATAAAGATCATCATCGCCATGAACACTTAGGTGGTTCTGAACCGAAATATAGAGAAGCCAGTCTAGGCAAATCAGGAACACAAAGCTCGCTTGGACAGAGACAACTTGGAGGTTCTGCAGGGATGACTCCCCAATCTTAGCCCTAACCCAGTTTCTAAAGAAAGACTTGAAATGAAAAAGAGAGAGAGAGAGGGAGAGTGAAAATGGCTAGGGTCATAATTTTGAGAATTACGGTTTGACGAGGGAAAGTATATGTCTCTGTGATTATCTTTCCTCCCTTCTGATAGAGCAGAAACCCTTGACCCAGAGACCACTTCTAGAGCATCAGGCTGCTGGCGCTGGGAGGGGAAGAAGAGACTCATATCCTTAGGCTCCCCCCAACTCCCACCTTTTCTTAACATTAGAGGATTTTCAGACAAGTTCAGTTTCTAGAAACTTAAGATAGATGACTCTGAATTCTGGCCACTTGTCAAAATGGCCACTTGTTCCGCAAGAATAGTGGGTAACCCACAGGAAGGATCGCAACTCTATATGATAAATTAGTTTGCTGCACTCCAGCTATGTTTATCAGTGAATTAAAATTCTAGTGAAAAGTCAAAGAGAGGTGCTGATGACCTTCATTTTATCATTAAACAGAAGAAAGATTCTTTCAGTCTTCTAAAAGTACTCCAAAGAATTTCAGACTCTTAATGTATTTGTATTTTGTTTTCTGATCTAAAGGAAAGTTTGAAGCAAAAACTGGTCAGAGTACTGGAGGAAAACCTCATTTTGTCAGAAAAAATCCAGCATTTGGAGGAAGATGCTGCCACTTCTGTTGTGAGTGGGCACCAGTCGCACACTTATGGTAAGTTCAGGAAAGCAACGTGTGATGTGTCCCAAGACAACTGTTTGTTTTGAGATAACTTGTTTAATAAGCTCATCTAGAGCTCACATAGCTTCCTAAATGGAAAAAATCATCTTTCCTCAGAGTTGTAATGGAGGTGGCTTGAGTTACCAAATGAAGTTCTTTCTCAGTGTAAAGCAAGTACAGATTGTTATTTTTGTCATTATTTTTGAGAATGATACTTGTTTCTTCTGATTATAGCAGGAGATCATGTTTCTTCTAGAAAGTTTGAAAAATAAAAGGAAAACATAACCTCATTACCCAGCAATAACTACCATTAGTGTTTTTGGTATATTTTCTTTCATCATACCCTTATACATATATTTTTAACTCAGCACTTATATTTGTGTCTTGATTTTTAAAAAATAATTTACAATAATAAAAAATAAATTAAAATACAAAATGCATACATTTTAAATTTGATGAGTTTTGACAAATATATACACTCATTTAATTCCACCCCAATCAAAATACAGAAAATTTCTGTTATTCCAGAAAGTTCCCTCAGACCCTTGTGCAGTTTCCCCCACTCTCTACCCTAGGCAATCACCAATCTAGTTTCTACATCTTAAGATTAATTTAACAGCATTGGCATTTCCTGTAATATCACATAAATATGCCATATTTACCTATCTAGTCCTTTATATAGTTGTTTTTAATGATAGTTATTATAAAGTTGTGATATTTATAATATTATAAATAATTCTAAGGAGTTTCCAAACACTCAAAAGACTTGAAATGGAAGAAGACTCTAGAGTGAAAATGCTTCTCTGAGATTGTCTTTCTTTCCTTCTGATGGAGCTGACAGTCCTAATATTTATACTATAATAAATAATGTGGCTATTTATATCTATTATATAACTCTATGTTTACATTTCAGACTTTTCCTAGTAGAAATTCCTAGAAGTAAAATTAGTGGGTCAAAAGATATGGATATTTTTGAGGCACATTGTTACACATTGCCAAATTACTCCCAAGGAAGGTTATTTTGATTTACATTCACATCAGCAATAAGTGTATTTGAATGCCCTTTTCACTCTGCCCTTGCTTACACTGGGTATTTTTCTTTAATTTTTGCCATTGTAATAAGTGAAAAATAATATCCCATTGAATTCTTGATTTGTACTACTTTATTATTAGCATGGTCTAAGCCAGTATTTTAGATAAAGTCTACCCTTGACTTTAAACCTCCAGCTCAGCACCCCTAAGCAAACATGAGCATTTGGATTATATGAAAAACTTGTTTTGGAAGTCACACTGAATTTTCAGAGATGAAGCTTATCACTGTCTGATTCTCAGAAGCCTCAAGGCATCTCCACTCACCTACTCTGAAAATAAGTAGGTGTTTGTTCATGAGATAACTGCTTTCAATCAGCCATGAGGCCTACTATACTGGCTTACTGGGGGTAAATACAGCTATTGCAGCCCTGTTTCCCAGCTTCTAGAACCTTACTACTTTTTTTCCAAAAAAGTCAGCAATATGATCACATGGGAGCTTGTTAGACATTTAGAATATTGAACCTCACTTCAGACCTACCAAATTAGAATCTATTTTTTAATAAGATCCCCAGGTTATTTGTAAGCATATTAAAGTTTTAGATGACTGACTTCCTTAGGACCAGAGTTCCTGTGCTTTTACTCAATCTTTATTGTAGGCAGTGGTAACATATTTGGGAGGCCTAAGTATGAGTGGCTACAAATTCAGCTTCTATAAGTGCTCACTGAGCTATTACTATGTGCCTGACACAGTTCTAGGTGTTTTACAGACTCAGTAGGGAGAGAAAGGCATACATTTACAAACTAAAATAGAAAATACAGAGAGACCTAATATTTGTGCCTATGCTAAATGATGACGTGTCTCATTAAATTCTCATAACAGTGCTATAGGCAGGGTGATTAGCTCTAGTAACTCAGAAAAGTGAACTAACATGCAATATTAAGTGGTTGAATTTTAATTCAGATCTCTCCATTGCCACCATATCTGTTATCTCTAAGGGAGGGAATGGGAATTGTGTGTGGAGGTGGGTGCAGTGGGGCCCCCAATTCTTTGGGATGTCCACCTGACTACCTAAGCTCTGTTCAAAGACTAGCCTCTTGGAATCCTGCTCACCCCTGGCTATTGAAACCTTTGTAGATGATCTTCTGTGCAAAAACCAACAGCTGAACATGCAGGTGGCTTGCCTAAACCAGGAGCTTGCCCAGCTGAAAAAGCTGGAGGAGACAGTGACCCTCCTTCATGAAAGTCAGAGGTAGGAGAGGGTCTGTCTAGCTGGCTTCTGGAAGCAGATGCTTACTTTCCTTTATCTCCTCTGTTTTACTGGGCAAGTTAATATCTATATACTTTTCAAATTAACTCCATTCTGTGTGTAAACCTTCTGTATCTAGGCCAGTTAGCTCTGGGACCAAAGTACTGCTTTCTAGAACACACCAGGGACTAAATGTCTTTGCTGACATTGGTTGGTTGCAACACCTCAGTAATAAGTAGTTTCTCTCTGGATCCAACAGGACCTTTCTTTGAGTCAGTTAACTTTCTTGATCACTATGTACCTCTAAAATCAGGAAAATGCCTGCCTGCTCTTGGTCACAGAAGAGATGTGCAGCCCTCAGAGAGAGTGAGTGATAGGGGAAGAATCCAGTGTACTTGTTCTGAGAAACTCAGTACCACCAGCCTCAACAAAAAACTGTACCCTCAGTATGCAGGCTACACAAACCAGAAGAGGCCTCAAGACTGTCGGTATATTTAGAGAAGCCCTTGACATTTTGGTTTGCCAAACACCTTTACTAGGACTTCCAATGAAGTTTAAAAATAAGAAGCCCATCCCCAAACCTTCAGCCCCTGATTTTACTTCCTGATTTTCCTTGGAATAGCTTCATATTCAGAGGATTAAACCCAGATCCACTCTGGATGGCTTTTTTTAAAAAAACTTTTCATTATATTTCAAACATAAAAGTAGAGCAAGCAACATAAAGTCATGGTTCTCAAATTTGGCTGTGCATCAGAATCGCCTGAAAAACTTACTAAAATGCAGATTGCTGGGCCACAGCCCCCAGAATGTCTGATTCAGCACATCTGGGCTGGGAACTGAGAATTTGCAATTCTAATACGTTTCCACTGGGGCTGTTGGTGCTAGTCTGGGGACCACACATCGAGAACATTAAGGTATGTCTCTGTAGTGATATACTGTCAAACTGCTGTGTTTTAAAGTAACTTGAAATAATTCCTTTGTGGGTTGTTAATTGAATTGTCAATATAAAGGTTTGATTTGTTTCATTTTGCTTTTGATTGATAGGGAATGTTTTAATTATTTTGATTTAATCTTGTTTTATAATTTTGTAAAACATTTACATGGTCCCAAAATCAATCTACAAAATAAAATAAATTCAGACAAATTTGGCTTCCTTATCTGTCTCTATTCTTCCCTCCTACTAGCCTCCCATTGTAGGTGTGGGTATGCATTTGTATTCCACTCTATTACATAAAAAGAGGCATAATGTTGCTTTAACATTTTATCTTAGAAATCAGTTCACAGCAGTGCATAGAGTTCTCATTCCTTTTTATAGCCTCATAAGACTTAATTATGTGTTTAATCAGTCTTCTATTAATGAACATTTAGGTTGACAGTATTCTGTTGTTACAAATAGTGCTACAGTGAGTAGCATTGGGCATGCTTTTTTTTTTTTTTTGGTCAGTCTCTGATGGCTTTCAGCATTTCATGGTAATATAGAGTCCAAGAATATAGCCATGAGTACACCATTAGTTAATTGCAAAGGCAGGATAGATTAGAAGAAGTAGAAATTAAGATTTGGAGATAGAAATTGGAGGCCTGGTCAGGTGCCAATCTCGCATTGCTTCTACTTACCTCATCGAAAGTGCTTTGGAAATAATAGAACAATCACTATATAAAATGTGAACTATGTTATTGCTACAGTCAGTCAGGAACACAATCAAACAATTGTAATGAATAAGACACTGTTGGTCTGGTTTTAAAATAACCACTCATGAATCGGACAGTTCTTTCTATTTAAAGATGTTACTTCATTTTACATTTGTCTAGCAAACATTTCAGGTCTTAATGACATCTACTTTGCTTTTATGATTTCATGATGGCCTTTTCCCCTGTGCCTCAGATCCCTGGTGATAACTAATGAGTATCTGCTGCAGCAGCTGAATAAAGAGCAAAAAGGTTATTCCAGGAAAGCACTCCTGCCTCCTGAAAAGAGTCATCGTTTGGAGAGATCATCACCCTTTGGGAAAAGCATGCTGTCTTCCTCCTCACCAGTGGCACATGACATGGGTCAGTATGTAATACAGAGTGTCTCAGACTGTTCCAGAGCCTAGTTTATGGAGCTAGCTAGCACTAAACCCCTCCCTGCAGCTCACCTCTCGACCCTAGGGGACTCTGTCATTGCCACCGGTAAGGTGGTATTTACCTACAAGATTAAGAAAAAATCTTATTACATTATATTGGTCCTTCCTTTTATTTATTTTTATCTCCTCCCATCAAGTCATTCTTTCTGCCCACAGAAATAGTGGGCACTTAGTCCTAGGCATTGTATTACATGGAAACATTTGGCTGAAAATGTCAAAAAGGAAAAACTACTCAACATTTTTCCCAAGTATTGCTTGAACCTGTGTGGTTAAAAAAGGAGGTTAAAAAAGAATATCCATGGCCAGGTATGTTTGTGTTAGAAGAAACTTAAGAGAATCCATATTGATTCATTCATCAAACATCTTTTGGGTTTCCTCCCACCGTAGTATAAAAGTGATATCTGGTGACTGCGCCAGGCAACAGTTTAGCCAGGGAGAAATGCAAAATGTCATGTGATAGAGCTCAAAGCTTGGTATTGGTACCAAACAGATCAGAATAAAAGCCTAAAGGTGCCCTGGAAAGAGAGAGAGTAGGTATTTCTTTCTCTGGGGAATTGGAGAAGGTGCCAGTGAGAACATGTTTGAGTGGAAGCTTGCAGAATGAAGACAATGGTAGCAGGTAGTGGAGGTGCAGAGCCTCCCAGGCCAAGAGCGCAGAGTAGAAGATTCTGGAGATCCCAGAGAGATCGAAGGGCAGGGAAGATATTAGGTCATGGTACCATGAGAGTATATAACTGGGGGACCTGTTATAACCTGGGGGTGTAGTGTCAGGAAAATATCCCCTAAAGAAAAGATCTTTCAGCTGAGACCTGAAGAATGAATAGGAGGTCACCAGGCAAAGCAAAAAGCCATGAAATGGGAAGGAACATGGTTCATTTAGGGAACTGAGGAGCTGAGAGGAGATAAATAGGAGCTAAGTTATACGGCTCCTTGAAGACTTTAGGTTGGGAAGGCAAAGGAGTGGCAGAGTTGTGTTTGAAAAGCTTTCTCTATAAGAATGGTTTGATGGCCTAGGGAGGACCAGAGAGGAGCTGGAGGGATGAGAGAGAAGGCTCTTGCAGTGCAGAACAGAGATGTGGTTTCTGAATCTTAGCTTTGGGCTCAGCATCGGCTTTACATATGAGTACCCTGTGTTTCAGGAGAAGACACAATCTCTCTTTTAATCCTGATGGATTATTTGAAAATCTATGGGAAAAGATAATAAAAGTGGCTCTGTATATATTTCTGCTTCAGGGTTGCCACAGAGTGTGTAAAGGGCAAAGGACTGTCAAACTAATGCCATGTTTCATCTTCAGGGTCATGTCAGAGAGAGAGGCCAGGTGGAAAGATTAGACACATATTTGCTCCCCTGACCCAGGTGCTGTGTAGGGAAGGACAGCTATTGCCATAATAGTAAGACATGAAGATCACATCTAAGATCACACATTTCTAAGTTATAAATAAAATCCACAGACCTCTGGATTTTATGTGGGTTCCCAAAAGGAGCATATACAAAAGATCCATGTTTCTTTGAGCTGCATGTCTCTCTGAAGGAGCTAGAGAGTGAGCTCATGCTCTCTGGAAATGTCAGTAAGAACAGCAGTTGCCCACCCCCTGCCAATTTCCTGGGCTTGTCTTGGCCCCATTGAGGGTCTAAGCCCTGCCCAGGGAGGGTAGCCTTGGCCAGTATACTTGCAGCCCCGAATTGTCATATTTCAGGGTCCCAGCCCAGGGTACAGGCCAACTTACTGGACAAGAGGGGAAAATAACGTTATTTGTTCCTACAACACCTCCCCGCCACTTCCTTCTCCTATGAATATCTGATAATGCCAGCCCTACAACCTATTCAGGGTACCTGTAAGGATGAGCAAGAAGCCTGACCCAGACTAGTCACCTTCCACCCCATTTTCTATTATCACTGAAAAGTGGCTAGCCCTACCCTAGGCCAGAACCTCTCTAGGGTTGCTAGCCACTCCTGGGAAAGTTGGCTGTGTTTCTGGTTTTTCCTGGGTAGCCCTTGGTCCAGAGGACAGGTGTAGGGATTTGTGGAGTCAAGAGAAAGACCAAAGAGTTGTTACCCTGTGGGGCTAAGTGGGCTCAACATGGATGCTAGGGCCCATGAAACAAGTAGAAAGTAAGTGGAGAAGAATTTGTTACCCTAGACCTGGCACTATTGGGAGAAAGAAGGAAACAGGGCTGGGATGGAAACTGGGTCCTCAGGGATGTTCTGCGCCCAAAAGGAGAGGCAGGGCCACTCTGACAGGTTTGGCCTTCCCACCAGCTATACACAGAGGGTTTTAACGGCTCCATTCCACAGATCCTAACCTCTCATCTTACCCACCTGGCTTTGCTAGCAAGAGTACCCAAAGCTTTCCACCACCAGGAGGCTGTGGGGGATGAAGTGATAACTGAAGGGCTTAAGTGGTGTTGTTGGTCCATTGCTGCCATGTACCAAATCCTGCTAGACCCATCAGTCTTTAAGAATCTTCCTGACTCTGGGCTGGCCTTGATTTCCCTCAGTCTGTACTTTTCAAGAAGAAGGAGCGCTTTATTCTTACAATGTGGAGTTTTGGGACTCAGCCAATTCTCTCTCTGGGCTCCTTTAACACTACATAGCCAGTCCTGGAGGGGCTGAGCTGCTGCTGTCCTATACACTGGATGGTACTCTCACCTAGGCTTAATAGCAGAATAGCCTGGACCGGTTTGCAATACAGTTAAACACTTTCACTCTGAGGATATTTTAGTAAGTGAATGCCAGAAGGATTCGGGTTCTACTCCTATTATGCTCTTTTAAGTAAGCTTGCATGCAGTTCAAACAAATCCGCCAAGGCTGGAGGAATCATTCCTCTCACTGTTTGCTGATGGGAGAAGTAGAGGTCTTTGAAACTCTTCCCTGGGCGATGTAAGGCAAGACAGTAGGAGCCCACAGCTGTCAGCTGTTAGGCAGAGCTCTGCCGTGCCTAGGCGCTGATCTTACCCTCTAATTCCCACGTCACCTTCCCAGCATTCCTGTCCTGGACTACACAATTCCTCTACACCCCAACTCCAAGTGAAGTTGGGCTCAAGGGAGTACGGGGCCTCCTGGGGCAGGGACATCCCAGAACAACCTGTGAGTTGAGGGAATAAACAGTTTTGCTGCTTTGCCTTGTTACCTGGGTTGGGAAAGAAGGTATTTGTGTGTCTGTGTGCTTCTTAAGCCCTTTCTAGCACCCTTGGGAGCTGCCCTTTCCTGGGCAGGCCCTAAGTCCCACCCAGCCTGCTTATCAGCAGAAAGGAAGGAGAATTGGTCCCCAAGCCTTGGGTTTAGGAATAGCTCTGCAATAACACCCAGAGCCTCAGGAGAAAAAGCTGATCCAGAAACTCCCAGGAGTCCTCAGGACTAGAGTCCCCCACCCATCTCCCAACCTGGGATGTTGAACAGATATGAGAGAATCAGCTAGAAGAGGTCCCTTCACTGTTGGATGCCTGGCTCACATGCCAGAGGCTGGTGTAGGGTACCAGGCACTATCACTGGCCATCCACCTCCATTTTGGAAATCAGTACTGGGGCTTGCTGGCCTGGGAGACAAGAGGCATGGTTCCGGTCTCTGTTCTGCAGAAGACCCTTCAGTCTCTAGGTCTCAATTTTCTCAGCTATAAAATCAGGAAGTTGAACTTTCTAAGTGCTAAGGTTTTTCTTGGTCCAGCATTTTCTGATATTCTGAGTTAGAGCCCAAAATGACTGGCCTTGGTAGCCCCCTGGAGCAGGGGCCTGTCAGCAGGCTTAGAGCTGAGGCCCGTAGCACTGGGTCCCTGCCAACTTGCCTATGCCAAGTCTGCTGTCTCATCCCACCTGGCTGTAAAAGTAGAGAGGCTAAGACGGAGGCCCTAATTGCAGGAAGGCAAGGTGTCATGTTAGGACCCTGGGTCAGGGCTGAGTTAAAAGGCTTTGAATTTCTCCAAGGAGCATCCTCAGGCAGTCTGGTTCTGCTGATGGAAAGAGCTTGGTATGTTTCTTTTTTTCGGCAGGGCTACCAGTGGAAGGATCCGCAGTGTGATACACAGGGGGATGATAAAACGGAGAGGTCAGTGTGGTATGAATACCATTATCTCTGTTGTCATATTCCCAGCCAGGCCATATTGGTACAAAAAATGCCTTTATTGAGGTCTGGGTAAGAATTAGGCACTTGGCCAGAGCAGCAGTTTAAATATGAGGCAAGCAAGGCAGGGGTTAGCCATGCCTGGGGCTAGGTTAGGGCAGTGAGAATAGAGGCACAGACTCTCCCCAGATGGATGGAAGTCAGGGAGGAAAGAGGAAAAGGAAGGGGACACAGAGCAGTCTGGGCCAGAGGCCTGGTGGGCTGGCCCCATGGGGCTGGGCAACAAGCACTGGGTCGCAGATCCAACAGGGAGGGAGGGGACCGGGCTCTCTTGCTCCACATGCCCCTTAGGCCCAGGCCTGAGCCTCTTCCAGGGGCAGCCAGGCCTCATTTCTTCACCTTGGCATCATAGGTGCCTGCATTCTTGTAGGCACTCACATAGCCACTGTCATCCAGTATGTCCTGCCGTCCAGCAATGCCCTTGCCCTTGCCGCTCTCATCAAAACGCTCCTTGTGGGAACCCGTGTACTTGCTGGTGTCGGTCAGCCGTTCCACAGCACCCCCTGCTTTTGCTTTCTGTTAGGACACAGTTTCCCCAGAGGCACCTGATTAGGGAGCCCAGCCCTTCCACTCCCAGCTGAGATTCCCAAAATCACTCTAAATGGCCACCCAATATCAGCAGGGCACTTACAGTGACGCCCACATTGGCTGGTTCCTTGCCTGCCACCAGCTGGCAGATGGCATCAAAGGCCTCCTCCTTGCTCTTCCCCTTGAATCGCTTGGTTGCCAGCTCTTCTAGGGCCTTCTTGAACTCCTCATAATTGATGACCCGAGCAGACTTCCCCCTGCCAGGTATGTGGGTACCAAGAGTTTCCCTCGCTTCTCCATGTCACCCCTGGTTCCAGCCCCCCAATTCCCCACCTTCTGGGAATATCAGAGGCAGGGACTGCCAGGGCTCACTTGACTTTGGAGAAGACGATATCGACATCGGTTCCTGTCACGACCTTCCCATCAGCCACCTTGCAGTCCTTACACAGCTTGGCCCAGTTCTTGCCATTCATCTCTTGCCCACTGGCCTTGGGGTCACCATGGATGGCAAACTTGCGGAAGCTCTCCTCCAGTCCAGCCATGTCTGTGCTCGCTGCCATGCCACCCTGTAGGGACCCATCTCAGTCACCTCCCAGCCAAGCTATCCCCAACAACCCCCTCTCCCCAGCGCACAGAACATCACTGCCTCTAACTTAAAACCCGTTAGGTGGGAACTCCTGCCACATACCTTAAGAGTTGGAGATTGAGCTGCCTGGGGAAAGGGACCAGCACTTGGTGTCTCCCTGGGTCCCAGAGCCTTGAAGAAGAGCCCCAAGAGGAAAGGTCCTGTCACTTAAGGCCAGTCCTGGCTAAGAGTGGAGTTCAGAAGATGAAATCATAATGCCCACACCAAGCTGGGAACAGAGTGGCACTGTCCAGAAAGATTATGAGGGCAGCAGCTGGGGCCGTGGCTTTGTCTGGCCCTGGCACAAGGCCTGCTTGGGTGGAAGTGAGGGTGGCAGAGCAGGCCCCCATCCCTGGGAGTTCCACACCAAGCTGGGTCAGGGCCAGGCCAGGCTGCTGGTTGGGCAGGTATTTCAGTGACGACTGTGTCTGTCAGAGTCATGAAGACACAGCAAGACCCAGCCCAGGCTGAGGAGGAAGCCAGAGGATGGATAGGGGTGCATGCCCTAGGCAGGGGTGCAGCTGGCCCAGCCGGCACCTTGTTACTGTTTGCTGTTAAACAAAAACATGAGGGGAGCAGGAGCTTGGGGCTGGCCTGGCCACAGTTTGTGAAGCCTGGAGACAGTTGCTAAGGGTGGGTGGTGCTGCTTGGAGAATGTTGCTAAGGGCAGGATGGTGTCAGGGTGGCTCAGGGAGAAGCTCACAGTGCTGCTAGGCTGGGCTGGGCTGGGCAACAGGGGCCCACGGGTGGGGCCCACCAGCACTCCCAGTGCCTGGGGCACAACCGTGGCCTCCTGGCCCCTCGCCACCTGTTGGGGCTGTAACTTCCCAGTCTGAATTAGAGGAGGAGCACAAAATGGGTGGGATATGAACTCCCAGAGGCATGTTGGCAGGTGGGATTCTGGCCTTGGCCCTGTAATCCTCACACCTCCACCATTCACTGAAGCACAGTTCCCCAGCGTCTACACCTTCAGCCCTTCATGGAGGATACCCTGGCCACACCTTGCGCACTGCCACACCAGACTACACTCCCACAGCAGTATGCACTCAGCCCTGGCCCTTCATACCCTCAGGCTTTTACCCCTGACCACACCCGTAACCATCCCTTCAGCATCTAATCCTGACATATACCAGCAGTCCTGCACTAGGCCCCCCGATAATACCTTCAGCCCTGCCCTAAAGGGTCCCCCACATCCCACAGACCCCACTGCAGTCCTCTGACCACACCCACAACCCTGCACATGTAACACAGCCAGATACTGAGGCCTCCCTGACCACAGCTTCAGCCCCGCACTACAGTCCAGGGACTGGAGCCCCTTGTCCACTCACCCACAGCCCATACTGAGACCCCTAACCAGAGCTTCACAACTCACAACACACTTGCAGTCGCTGATCACACCCTCACCACCCCCACTTGTCCACACATGCACAGCCTCCTAGCCACACTCTTAGCCCTGCACTGAAGCCCCCCAGTGTCCACATCCAGGTATTTCCAGACTCCCAGGTACTATGCTAAGAACTCCTGTGATAAGAAACCCTTGTGCACAACCACCTCCTCCACTGCAGCTTCCTGACCACACCCTAATCATGTCCTCAGCAACCATCTTCTACCTCAGTCTTTTATGTGAGGGCCTCCGGTGACCATGGCCTGTGTCCCTGCTCACCAGTACTACCCCTTCCAATTACTATTGGCTTTAACTGAAAATCCTCCCCCAGTAACCATTCTCACCCATCCCTGAGTTGCAGTTTCTGGGACTGGGAGCACCTACAGCTCCTACACTGCAACAAGTCTCTGGGCCCACAATCCCAGTCCACACTGCACTCCCCTTCCCTCTCCCTACACTGCAACCCCCCATGGAGGCCCCAAGACACCTGCACTTGGTTCACCAAGGGCAAAGTCTGGGGGAGCTTGCATGCCACAGGATGCTTGTCCCAGGGTGCTGGCAGGATCCTGCATGCAATGCTCACTCCTGTTTGTGGAAGATGGATTCTCGGTAATTTCAAGGCTCATCAGGTGTAGTCAAGTCGCAGGCCATATTCCCAGGGTTCTGCAGGCCATGGATGGAGCCGCCAGGCCCGTGAACTGCGGCCACCAGCTCGCTCCCTCTGGGACAGCTGGAGTCATCAATCAACCGAGCAAGAAGATGGGGGTGGGGGTAGGGGGGAATGCTTGGGGCCCAGGGCAGGCCTTTCAGCTGACGTCCTCAGCTCAGTACAATCCGGAGTTGGGACCCTTTCCAGACCGCTCCCACCCCACCCCTTCCCTATCGTGCAGGATACTCATTAGGGTAGCGGGCGCCCGCATCTCCTACCGGCTTCTACCTCGTGGCTGCGCGTTCGATGGACAGAAGGACGCAAGAATGGACTGACGGACGTGAGATCAGCCGGCTCCACAGCTCTGCTCCCTGCCGGTTCTGGGGCGGGACTGCAGTCCGGGCGGTTCCGCCGTATTATCCCCTGTTTCTCCGTCTCCATAGAGACGGCGAGTCCCACCCCCAGGGCGGTCTCAACGGGAGAGTGACCAAGGTCACGCTGGCTCCTCCTACTGGCCCTGCCTCCTCCACGCTCCGCGGGGGCGGGGCTGCTGAGAAAACCTGATCCTGTGGATCTCGGGGCTGCTCCACCGCCTTCGAGCCCGGAGATANGTTTGCAATACAGTTAAACACTTTCACTCTGAGGATATTTTAGTAAGTGAATGCCAGAAGGATTCGGGTTCTACTCCTATTATGCTCTTTTAAGTAAGCTTGCATGCAGTTCAAACAAATCCGCCAAGGCTGGAGGAATCATTCCTCTCACTGTTTGCTGATGGGAGAAGTAGAGGTCTTTGAAACTCTTCCCTGGGCGATGTAAGGCAAGACAGTAGGAGCCCACAGCTGTCAGCTGTTAGGCAGAGCTCTGCCGTGCCTAGGCGCTGATCTTACCCTCTAATTCCCACGTCACCTTCCCAGCATTCCTGTCCTGGACTACACAATTCCTCTACACCCCAACTCCAAGTGAAGTTGGGCTCAAGGGAGTACGGGGCCTCCTGGGGCAGGGACATCCCAGAACAACCTGTGAGTTGAGGGAATAAACAGTTTTGCTGCTTTGCCTTGTTACCTGGGTTGGGAAAGAAGGTATTTGTGTGTCTGTGTGCTTCTTAAGCCCTTTCTAGCACCCCTGGGAGCTGCCCTTTCCTGGTCAGGCCCTAAGTCCCACCCAGCCTGCTTATCAGCAGAAAGGAAGGAGAATTGGTCCCCAAGCCTTGGGTTTAGGAATAGCTCTGCAATAACACCCAGAGCCTCAGGAGAAAAAGCTGATCCAGAAACTCCCAGGAGTCCTCAGGACTAGAGTCCCCCACCCATCTCCCAACCTGGGATGTTGAACAGATATGAGAGAATCAGCTAGAAGAGGTCCCTTCACTGTTGGATGCCTGGCTCACATGCCAGAGGCTGGTGTAGGGTACCAGGCACTATCACTGGCCATCCACCTCCATTTTGGAAATCAGTACTGGGGCTTGCTGGCCTGGGAGACAAGAGGCATGGTTCCGGTCTCTGTTCTGCAGAAGACCCTTCAGTCTCTAGGTCTCAATTTTCTCAGCTATAAAATCAGGAAGTTGAACTTTCTAAGTGCTAAGGTTTTTCTTGGTCCAGCATTTTCTGATATTCTGAGTTAGAGCCCAAAATGACTGGCCTTGGTAGCCCCCTGGAGCAGGGGCCTGTCAGCAGGCTTAGAGCTGAGGCCCGTAGCACTGGGTCCCTGCCAACTTGCCTATGCCAAGTCTGCTGTCTCATCCCACCTGGCTGTAAAAGTAGAGAGGCTAAGACGGAGGCCCTAATTGCAGGAAGGCAAGGTGTCATGTTAGGACCCTGGGTCAGGGCTGAGTTAAAAGGCTTTGAATTTCTCCAAGGAGCATCCTCAGGCAGTCTGGTTCTGCTGATGGAAAGAGCTTGGTATGTTTCTTTTTTTCGGCAGGGCTACCAGTGGAAGGATCCGCAGTGTGATACACAGGGGGATGATAAAACGGAGAGGTCAGTGTGGTATGAATACCATTATCTCTGTTGTCATATTCCCAGCCAGGCCATATTGGTACAAAAAATGCCTTTATTGAGGTCTGGGTAAGAATTAGGCACTTGGCCAGAGCAGCAGTTTAAATATGAGGCAAGCAAGGCAGGGGTTAGCCATGCCTGGGGCTAGGTTAGGGCAGTGAGAATAGAGGCACAGACTCTCCCCAGATGGATGGAAGTCAGGGAGGAAAGAGGAAAAGGAAGGGGACACAGAGCAGTCTGGGCCAGAGGCCTGGTGGGCTGGCCCCATGGGGCTGGGCAACAAGCACTGGGTCGCAGATCCAACAGGGAGGGAGGGGACCGGGCTCTCTTGCTCCACATGCCCCTTAGGCCCAGGCCTGAGCCTCTTCCAGGGGCAGCCAGGCCTCATTTCTTCACCTTGGCATCATAGGTGCCTGCATTCTTGTAGGCACTCACATAGCCACTGTCATCCAGTATGTCCTGCCGTCCAGCAATGCCCTTGCCCTTGCCGCTCTCATCAAAACGCTCCTTGTGGGAACCCGTGTACTTGCTGGTGTCGGTCAGCCGTTCCACAGCACCCCCTGCTTTTGCTTTCTGTTAGGACACAGTTTCCCCAGAGGCACCTGATTAGGGAGCCCAGCCCTTCCACTCCCAGCTGAGATTCCCAAAATCACTCTAAATGGCCACCCAATATCAGCAGGGCACTTACAGTGACGCCCACATTGGCTGGTTCCTTGCCTGCCACCAGCTGGCAGATGGCATCAAAGGCCTCCTCCTTGCTCTTCCCCTTGAATCGCTTGGTTGCCAGCTCTTCTAGGGCCTTCTTGAACTCCTCATAATTGATGACCCGAGCAGACTTCCCCCTGCCAGGTATGTGGGTACCAAGAGTTTCCCTCGCTTCTCCATGTCACCCCTGGTTCCAGCCCCCCAATTCCCCACCTTCTGGGAATATCAGAGGCAGGGACTGCCAGGGCTCACTTGACTTTGGAGAAGACGATATCGACATCGGTTCCTGTCACGACCTTCCCATCAGCCACCTTGCAGTCCTTACACAGCTTGGCCCAGTTCTTGCCATTCATCTCTTGCCCACTGGCCTTGGGGTCACCATGGATGGCAAACTTGCGGAAGCTCTCCTCCAGTCCAGCCATGTCTGTGCTCGCTGCCATGCCACCCTGTAGGGACCCATCTCAGTCACCTCCCAGCCAAGCTATCCCCAACAACCCCCTCTCCCCAGCGCACAGAACATCACTGCCTCTAACTTAAAACCCGTTAGGTGGGAACTCCTGCCACATACCTTAAGAGTTGGAGATTGAGCTGCCTGGGGAAAGGGACCAGCACTTGGTGTCTCCCTGGGTCCCAGAGCCTTGAAGAAGAGCCCCAAGAGGAAAGGTCCTGTCACTTAAGGCCAGTCCTGGCTAAGAGTGGAGTTCAGAAGATGAAATCATAATGCCCACACCAAGCTGGGAACAGAGTGGCACTGTCCAGAAAGATTATGAGGGCAGCAGCTGGGGCCGTGGCTTTGTCTGGCCCTGGCACAAGGCCTGCTTGGGTGGAAGTGAGGGTGGCAGAGCAGGCCCCCATCCCTGGGAGTTCCACACCAAGCTGGGTCAGGGCCAGGCCAGGCTGCTGGTTGGGCAGGTATTTCAGTGACGACTGTGTCTGTCAGAGTCATGAAGACACAGCAAGACCCAGCCCAGGCTGAGGAGGAAGCCAGAGGATGGATAGGGGTGCATGCCCTAGGCAGGGGTGCAGCTGGCCCAGCCGGCACCTTGTTACTGTTTGCTGTTAAACAAAAACATGAGGGGAGCAGGAGCTTGGGGCTGGCCTGGCCACAGTTTGTGAAGCCTGGAGACAGTTGCTAAGGGTGGGTGGTGCTGCTTGGAGAATGTTGCTAAGGGCAGGATGGTGTCAGGGTGGCTCAGGGAGAAGCTCACAGTGCTGCTAGGCTGGGCTGGGCTGGGCAACAGGGGCCCACGGGTGGGGCCCACCAGCACTCCCAGTGCCTGGGGCACAACCGTGGCCTCCTGGCCCCTCGCCACCTGTTGGGGCTGTAACTTCCCAGTCTGAATTAGAGGAGGAGCACAAAATGGGTGGGATATGAACTCCCAGAGGCATGTTGGCAGGTGGGATTCTGGCCTTGGCCCTGTAATCCTCACACCTCCACCATTCACTGAAGCACAGTTCCCCAGCGTCTACACCTTCAGCCCTTCATGGAGGATACCCTGGCCACACCTTGCGCACTGCCACACCAGACTACACTCCCACAGCAGTATGCACTCAGCCCTGGCCCTTCATACCCTCAGGCTTTTACCCCTGACCACACCCGTAACCATCCCTTCAGCATCTAATCCTGACATATACCAGCAGTCCTGCACTAGGCCCCCCGATAATACCTTCAGCCCTGCCCTAAAGGGTCCCCCACATCCCACAGACCCCACTGCAGTCCTCTGACCACACCCACAACCCTGCACATGTAACACAGCCAGATACTGAGGCCTCCCTGACCACAGCTTCAGCCCCGCACTACAGTCCAGGGACTGGAGCCCCTTGTCCACTCACCCACAGCCCATACTGAGACCCCTAACCAGAGCTTCACAACTCACAACACACTTGCAGTCGCTGATCACACCCTCACCACCCCCACTTGTCCACACATGCACAGCCTCCTAGCCACACTCTTAGCCCTGCACTGAAGCCCCCCAGTGTCCACATCCAGGTATTTCCAGACTCCCAGGTACTATGCTAAGAACTCCTGTGATAAGAAACCCTTGTGCACAACCACCTCCTCCACTGCAGCTTCCTGACCACACCCTAATCATGTCCTCAGCAACCATCTTCTACCTCAGTCTTTTATGTGAGGGCCTCCGGTGACCATGGCCTGTGTCCCTGCTCACCAGTACTACCCCTTCCAATTACTATTGGCTTTAACTGAAAATCCTCCCCCAGTAACCATTCTCACCCATCCCTGAGTTGCAGTTTCTGGGACTGGGAGCACCTACAGCTCCTACACTGCAACAAGTCTCTGGGCCCACAATCCCAGTCCACACTGCACTCCCCTTCCCTCTCCCTACACTGCAACCCCCCATGGAGGCCCCAAGACACCTGCACTTGGTTCACCAAGGGCAAAGTCTGGGGGAGCTTGCATGCCACAGGATGCTTGTCCCAGGGTGCTGGCAGGATCCTGCATGCAATGCTCACTCCTGTTTGTGGAAGATGGATTCTCGGTAATTTCAAGGCTCATCAGGTGTAGTCAAGTCGCAGGCCATATTCCCAGGGTTCTGCAGGCCATGGATGGAGCCGCCAGGCCCGTGAACTGCGGCCACCAGCTCGCTCCCTCTGGGACAGCTGGAGTCATCAATCAACCGAGCAAGAAGATGGGGGTGGGGGTAGGGGGGAATGCTTGGGGCCCAGGGCAGGCCTTTCAGCTGACGTCCTCAGCTCAGTACAATCCGGAGTTGGGACCCTTTCCAGACCGCTCCCACCCCACCCCTTCCCTATCGTGCAGGATACTCATTAGGGTAGCGGGCGCCCGCATCTCCTACCGGCTTCTACCTCGTGGCTGCGCGTTCGATGGACAGAAGGACGCAAGAATGGACTGACGGACGTGAGATCAGCCGGCTCCACAGCTCTGCTCCCTGCCGGTTCTGGGGCGGGACTGCAGTCCGGGCGGTTCCGCCGTATTATCCCCTGTTTCTCCGTCTCCATAGAGACGGCGAGTCCCACCCCCAGGGCGGTCTCAACGGGAGAGTGACCAAGGTCACGCTGGCTCCTCCTACTGGCCCTGCCTCCTCCACGCTCCGCGGGGGCGGGGCTGCTGAGAAAACCTGATCCTGTGGATCTCGGGGCTGCTCCACCGCCTTCGAGCCCGGAGATACCAGCCATCTGTAGTTCTGGATGTCCTCGGATGACCCCTTAACGGGAAAACAGCCCCTTACCCTGGGCCCAAAGTTCAAAGCAGGCTCCCGCCTCCAGGGTAGATCCAAGTTAGCTGAGCGGCAAACGAAGTCCGTTTGACAGCTGGCTGTGGGGGAAGGGCAGAAGAGCGGGAAGCTCCCTCCCTTCAGTGACAGTGGGGTCTAGAGCTGGCTCAAGACCACAGCTCTCCAGGTAAACTGTGGCATCCCGAGGTCACAACCCGGAACATTGTGGGCGGGAGAGAACCATGAGCGAGTCATAAGTAGTTAGCCCCAGAATCCAGGTACACCGACTGCGATCCCGCCGTCAGGAAGCTCCTGGACTCCCGGGGTACGCGTCCTGCGTTATTCCCACCCAACCCTGCTGTTGGCTTCGCGATCTCTGCTCCCGGTGTTGCCTCCGGAGTCCAACGCCCGCTTCACCTCATGTCTCCAAATGCAAACCCTATCCTCAAGAAAAATAACCTCCTCCAGGCAGCCTTCTAGAACCTTTCCTAGCCAGGAGCCCCTTACCTGAGCGCCTCGGGTCCTCGTGTACCTCCATGTGACAATCTGGGTGGCCACCCACTGTACCGGGGGCCCACCCCAACCTCTGCCCCTAGGCCAACTGGCAGTGTTCCGGCTCCAAGAGGGCCTCTGGCTCTGGTCATTGAGAAAGTATTCACTAAGTCCGCAAAAGCATACAAAAAGTTTATTGGAGGATCACGGCTGGTGGGGCTGGTATTGCTGAGTCGGGGGTGGGGGAAGGGGGCCGATCCCGCCGGCCGTTGGGTTCCCTAAAGTGCACTCGCTGCGGCAAGGGTGGGTTTGTTGCATAGAGTCGGGCCGGCCGCTCCGCCTCAGCCTACCTGCCTCTCCGCCCGGCTAATCCAGGCCGACCTCCAGGCTGCCCTGCGCCCCGGGCTTGCCGCTGCTCGGGCTTACGAAGACGGTGGGCGCACTCCGGTGCAGCGTCAGCCCGGGCTCTCGGCCTTCGTCCCCGGGAATGACCAGAGCGGCGCTACCTAGGCGGGTCTGCGCCACTGGAATCTCGTCCATGGACTCGGCTGACGCCGAATGGTAGGCGCCGGCGGGCCCAGCGGCGTGCACCGGGCTGGAGCCAGCGGAATCTGACGAAGAGCTGGAGCAGGGGCCCGGAGCTCGGGGCCCTGCGGGGTGAAAGAGAATGTGAGACTAGGGACCGCAACTCGCTAGGGGACCTACCTTTCCTTCCCTCGGAGCTCCCCGGGCAGGATCCGGTCAGGAAGGGGTGCTCACCGGGCAGCTTTGGTAGTGAGGGCTCGCGGTCCAAGATCCCAAAGGTCGGCACTTTATACACGCGCCGCTTCCTCTTTTTCTGCAGAGACGGGGTAGGGGAGGCGGATTGGTGCCCTCCACAGGCCCCACAGTGCTAAAAGCAGCAGAGGAATTGGGTAGAGCCTTCTTTCCCATCCGCCCTTACCTGGGGTCTGATCCGAGAGGGCAGAGAGAGAGACTCTTCGGAGCAGGGCTGTGGAGGCTCTGCTTGGCTGCTGGTGGCAGGGAACCGGGAGGGACTGAGGGGGAAGTAGGAGGGTGAGCGCTGAAAGCAGTTGTTGCCTCAAATCCCACCCGACTGGAGGTCCTGAAATAAGCCTCCCTTCCTAGGGGACAGATAAAAAGGGGCATTGATCTGTCCAAGGCCAGGCTGTGCTGGACCAAGACCTGTGCCTTGGCCCTGGCCTATCCCCTTTCTCCCACCTTGGATGGCCTGCCATGCCAATGGGAGCTACCCAGGTGGCACACACCCATGTCACACTCACTTGGCAGTCACTGCAACAGGCCTGGCCTGGCCAGGGGGCTCTTGGCGCACATGGCTGAAGGTTCGCATGTGGAACTCCATCTCCTGGGGAAGGTGGGGTCAGGGAAGCAGGGAGGCCAGGTGTGGATCCAGGGCCTTCTCAGGCCTGAGCCCACCCCATCCTGACACAACACCCGATGAATGGTCTCTGTAGGAGGTCTGGGTACAGAGGTCCAGGGCTGTCTTCCAGGCTTCCCAGCTATGCTGGGAAAACCCTTCTGCAAACTGAGGGCTAAAACACCCATCTCTGGACCTAACCCCATCCCCACCATCCTCACTTAATCTAGTCAAGCTCCACTTCCTCCAGGAAGTCCCCAGCATCATGGGCCCAGTGCACCCAGTCTAGAGCAGCTCTGGCAGAGGGGCGTGATAGGGAAGAGGCGCCTAGAGCTGCCGTCTCCTACTCCTGGCTCCTCTCAGAGCTCCAGTCTCTGGACTGATTTTTGCCCTGGTTGGGAGATGGAGCAGCCATTCACAGGCCAGGGTGTCCACCCAAGGTTATGTGCACAGCTGGATGGTTCCCTTGGAGGGAGCTGAGTCCCCAGAGCAGCAGCTATAATCTCAGCTGTCAGAAGGGTTGTGGAGGATGCACAATCTCCCCACTCACTACTTGGAAAAGGAGGGCAGTAGGGCAGTAGGTGGTAGAAAAAAAAGCCCCACAGAACCATCTAGGACCATTCTTATGGACTAGTTTTGTCTAGTCGCTGATCCTCCCAGTGACCCTGGGAGCTGCAGACCCAACCCCTGAAAATGAAGGAGACTGAGGCCAGGATGTTGCAGGAGTGGCCTAGGCCTGCACTCCAGCAGGACATACTCTAACTACTCCCATGGGGACTGCAAGTGAGGAAACAAAAGCCAGGGAAAAGCCAGCCTGGGAAGGGCGTCTGCATTGCAGAGGGTGGGGCAGAGCCAGGAGGAGGAGGCCGAGCCCACACCCCCACGAAGGGGAAGGCACCAGGACAGCTGTCGCCTGGTCCGCAGCTGTTTCCATGGAGACCCAGGCATCCTGACTAATGCAGAGATGACACTGTAACAGCAATGCCGTCTCTAAAACAAGCCTATGTTTGGGGGCAACGGCTCCAGAGTAGGGCCCCTCCCGCATTCCTGCTCAGGGTGGGAGTGGGGAGGTTGCCTGCAGGGGCCCTGGCAGATCTGGCGGACAAAGCCAGCCAGCCACAGGCTAGCTGCACAGATGCAGAGATTGAAGCCCTGGGCAAGCCCTGTGCTTCAACCTCTGCCCAGGCTGGCCCTCTGGGGAGGTGTGTTGGGGGTGCCAGCCTGAGCAGAGGAGTCTTGGAAAAGAAGATGGGGTCAAAGGTCAGTCACAAGAACTAGAACCTCAAAGAAATCCTTTCCCCACATCTATCCTCTTCCCCACTGTGGACACAGCACCCCTCCAGGGCCCAGTAGAGAGGGGCAAATCCTACCCTAGTGCCCCTGGGCTCCAGAAGCAGGGTAGGGGGGGCAGCAGTAAAGGATGGTCCCAGAAGCAGACAGGATGGTCCTAGCTAGCTGGGGAAGTTTGAGGATGTACCAGGGTGTCCTCACTCAAACCCCCTCCCCTCATCACACATGTCCCTAGGCTCCTTTCCTCAGAGACCTTCAAAATTTGCACGTTTCTGAATGGCATGCAGCACTTCTCAGCCTCAGCTCCTCTGCACACCCCTCGTCCCCCTGGGGAGACCTCTCTCAGGTCATTTGTAAATGATATTAAATGCCCTTGCTGCTGGCACATCTGGCCCCAAAGCCTAGGCCAGCAGTGACTGCAGGGCAGGGGTCCAGAGCCCTCGAGTCTGGGCATCCCAGGGCCAGCCCTACCTCCACAGGCACTGGCTGTGAAACTTTAAAAAGTCTCCTGCCTACCTCTCTGAGCCTCAGTTTCCTCTGTGAGTGGAGATGGGGATGATGCCCACTCCCAGGATCGCTGCCCTTGGCTTACATGGGCGGGTTCAGTACCCAGTACCAGGGCAGGTACACAGTAGTGTGGTGGGTGCCTCCACCAATGGCCAGCACTCCGCCAGGCCTACCCAGGCCTGGCAGCCTGGCTGACCTCTGGCAATGAGAATAAGAGAGGCAGGGTCCCAAGCCCTCCCCCAACCTGCCCACCAGCCTGTTTGTGTCCAGTTGCCATGAGGACTCAGGATCTAGAGCTCAGCCTTCCCAGCAAGGCCTGCCTGGGCCCCCTGCCTACCCAGTCCCTGGGGACTCCAAGGATTAGACTATCCCCACCCCCAGCTGTTGACCTCAGGAAGCCACTGGGCGTGGGAATGGGGATAGGATGGTCAGCAGCTGGGCTGGCCAGGCCTGAGCCTGGACTGGAGGGTTCCTGCTTCAGAATACAGAAATCTTAACTTCCCAGACCCTGCTTGTATAACCTTTCTTGGCCTCAATATGCTTGTCTGCAATATGGGTACGGTAACATCACCTACCTCATGGGCTCTTTTAAGGATTAAATAGAGTAATGAGTATAAAGGCTCAAGGTCACAGGGAGAGAGAATTGATGGCTCCATACTGGTGACCCAGTCGTTGGTCCATCCCTCTCTCTTCTGCAGCCCCAACCTGCTCACTTCTAGGCTTGCGCATTCCACACTCTCCAGCACATGCTTAGAGCCTGGGCAGGCACATACTTGGGTCAGGGAAACACAAGGCTACTTCTGGCTGTACTTAAGCAAGCAGGCACTTCTCAGTGCAGGCTTGGCCCTGCCCCAGCTGTTGTTCCAGGCCAGCTTCCCTTTGTCATTGGCTGCTTGCTACACAACCCACCACCCCTCTCACACCCAGGCCCTATCTCCCACCCCCTCAACCCTCTAGGTCTCTTCTATACCTGAATGGGTCGCATCTTGGGGGGACATAACTTGAGCTCCCTGTGGGTCTCCTTTGCCTCCTGTGGCAGGCGATGCTGCACAATATACTCGTAGGTGGTAAGCTTGTGCCACACTGAAGGGGTAAAGAGAGGGCTTAGTGCAATGGAAAGGGGACTCTGGATTTCAGAAGGTAAGGGAGAGTACCCAGTCCCAAACTGAAACCACTGTCCCCATATACACTGAGCCATAGAGTGAGACCACACCACCACAGCCAGCCAGCATTGGGAAGGGGCTGGAGACCTCTATTCCCTGCAAGGCTGGTGTAGGTATATGGGGGATGGGGGGTGGGGAGAGGTGCACTTACTGAGATAAATGTGGAAACAAAGCAGGTGGCCAAGCAGGGCTGTGGAGAGCAGACCCAGAAGGATAAGTAGGGCAGCCAGGGCCAGGATGGCAGGAGCCTGGGTCTCCACAGGGGCAGCAGGCAGGAACACAAACCACACATCTGTGTGATTCCTCAGGACTGCGAGGCACAGGCAGATTGTGCTCAGCTGGGGCTGAGACCAGTGACCAGAACAGGCCCAGAGAAGGGGGTGGGAGTGGGCCTGGAGTCCAGACTGACCTTCAAAGTGGTGGTTGGTGCGCAGCTGCATGGGGTTAACAAAGAACTCCACAAAGACATAAGTGGCCACAAGCACGAGGAGCAGGACACCCAGTAAGGCAGATGCCACACTGTGTAGAAAGAGCCTGGGCCCAGCAGTAGGCAGCTGTCAGCACCCCAGTGTTCCAGCTGGGTAAGGCCCAACGGATGGGCCTCTGACCTCACAGCCCCAACTCCTCATGTATTCAAAGGCTTAGGGCAAAGGTGAAGATGGACACCCTCCTCCACCCCCCATATCAGACTCCCTGACTTTCCCTGGGTCAGCAGGTGGAAGACCACAAATACACCTTTAGCCATCAGGATTATCACCTCCTGACAGGCACACACTAATGCACACCAGCCCACAGGTCCTCCAAACAACCGCCCCCACCCCCACCCTCGTGCCCACCCGCGCCATATGCATGCTCACCGTCCAGGCTCACATACTCAGGCACTGAGCAGCCCAGTCCCCGCTCTCACCTGTAGTTCCTCTCGCCCACGCAGTTGTTCAGCCACTTGCAGTGGTGGTCGAAACCGCACACGCACTTGTTGCACGCGCTGCAGTGCTTGGAGCGAGCACTCCTGCGGAAGGAGGGGGACGGGTGGTGGGGGTTGCACAGCGCAGTCGGCCGGTTTGTCCCGTCTTTCGCCGCCAGCCTGGTCGGAGCGCCGGGCCTGCAGCGCCTTTCCCACCCTACGCTTCTGCCAAGCAGCAGAGTGCGCGCGCCCTCTGGCGGCACTGAGGGGCACGGCACACGCAGGCGGCCGCGCTTCGGAAGAGGCGGCGAGGCGGCAGCGGTGGTGGTGGGGGATGGGTCCGAAAGGCGGGAGGAGGGGTAGGGGACATTATACTGTCCCACTTTGGGACTGCGCACGCGGGTGATGGTGGTGTGAAATGGAAATGGGTCTTCTCTTCCAAGCAAGAACCCCTGGACGAGCCAGGAGAATGCAGGATGGCGCCAAGGAGCAGACAAGAGCAAGGCCATTAGTCCCAGGGCCTGCGTTGCTCTTCCTGACAGCTCCATGTTTGAGTCCCTGTCCCTGCCAGTCTATGGGAGTTTTACTGGTATTCTCCCTGAAAACCTTAGTCTGTCTGGGCTAATCCAAAGAGAGCCAAGAGAAGAGCAAGCTGACACCTGCATGAGCAGTTGGCCACAGGTGGTTACTTGAGGCGAGGCCACCTTAGGCATGCTTGGGAGTGAGAGTCTCCCAACAGCAGGGAGGGGCCAGGGAAGCCCGAAGGAGCGTAGAAGAATGAGCTGCAACCGCCTTCCCAAGAACTGAATGGAGCCCTGGGATGGGCAGCAACTGCCAGAGCAACCAGTGAGGCACAACATGGGCAGGCGCCTAGTGAAGGAAAGGATGGTCGGATGCTAAAATCCTCAGTGCCTTAATGCGATTGGCTTTTTCTGTCCTGCAGTCAGACCCCCTCCAACAGGCTGCCAGGGTTTTAAGATTAGAAGCCTGGAGCTGGCCTTGTACCATAATCCCCATCCCCAATGCCCTACCTGAGACTGAAAGACTGGGTAGCTCCAGGAGGGTGGGGAGGGGCCTGAGGAGGCAGTGAGGTTCAGCCAAGGGGGTTCGGACTCTGCACGTTCCGACTCCTCTCTCCATTAGCAGTGTGACCTGGAGCAAGTCACTTGGCCTCTGCGGGCCTTGGGTTCCTCATGAGTAAACAAGGATGAAGGTATTGGCTCAGGGACCAGGCAGGCTCGGTTGTGAATCTGGCTCTGCTGCCCAACAGCCTCTGAGCCTCTCAAAGCCTTGGGCTCTTCCTCCCCTGCAAAGTGCAAAGGTGCTGCCCACCCTGCAGGGTGGTTGTTCATAAGCACTTAGCACATAGTAAGTACTCAAGCACCAACCGCCCCCCTCCAATCTGTAAACATTTGTGAGAGATGAGGGAGGGGGTTACTGGCAGAGTTGATCATTACAAGTGTTTGTGGCAGTGCCAAATGTTTTCTGCTTTAACTGTTGAAAATGCTAGTCCTCATCTTCTGTTTCCAATCACCTCTTTCACCCAATTTTCTCACTCATCAAGATTCATGACTGTAAAACACAAGGGTTTTGAGGCACTGGGCTAACTGCAACACCCTGGGCATGTCCCTCTCTGCCTTGGGCTCCCGCTGGCAGTTTCCCAGGCACGCTCATCACCCGCGCATGCCCTGAGTCTGCACGCACTCACACATCCACATTGCACAAGTTGCAGTGCAGGTCTTCAATGACGTGTGCATGTTGGCTGCGGCTGAAGATGGGCAGGGGCCCTGCATAGCTCTTGTCCCGCACGCTGGCGTCTGCCGGATCGATGGAGACAGCAGTCAGGTGCACCACTAGGTGGCCGGCAAATATGGCACCCATGCACTGGCCCAGCAGGCTAAAGACTCACTCCACACACTGTTGGCCAGAAGCCCCCCACCCTGCTTCCTGTGGCCAGAGAACGCCTCTCCACCTCCACATGGCTCCCTCCTGTGCCACATCCTCCCTCCAAGTCCCTAAGAACTTCCTTGTGAGACCTCTTCAGATGGAAGGGGAGAGAGGCCATCTGGTAATGGAGCTCACAAGACAAGTCTTCTACTGTCCTCTAGGAGCCCAACTACAGTGAGGCCCTCTACTACTACTACTGCCTCCACTACAGCCTCACTACTGCTCCAAGGCTTGGACACCACCTCGTTGGTCTGACCTCAGAATCTGATCTGGCTTCAGGTTCTAAACGGCAAAGTGAGACTAAAAAAAATCATCCTGTAAGGTCAGGGGCTCCCAAAATCTAACTCTAAACTGGTTTATTCTGCTTTCACAGTAAGTCAGCTCTGAGAGGGAAGCAGCCAGCCTTCTCCCAGCAGCCGGGCCAGACAAAGAATCACCTGCAGACAGGGCCTTATATATCCACCACCTCTCTGACCTGGAGTCCAGGAACCTGAAGCCCTGGGGCTGAATGTCTACAACCTGACATATTCAGGGCTTGGCCAGAGGCAGCATGGCTAATTCCTAGAGCTGAAACACAGATTTTCCAGGACCTATCTGCTCAGTGATTGGACCAAATGCTGGAGACAAGTATGCTGACAACTTGCTGCAGAGTCTCAGTTGTGTAAAAATTCACCAACAGATTGCGCCCAGGTAGCCATCCAGCCTCCCTCCCGCCATCTTCCTGCTGGCCAGGACATTATCCCTCTATCATTCACCCTCTATCCATCAGCTCTCCAACCAACCTCCTTTTCTCCCCTCTGCCTCCTCGTAGAGGCCAAACTTCCCTACATATCTGCATGAGCCAGGCTTTGCCTTACTGTATCTGAACACCACAGTCCCATGGCCCATCACCTCTCTATCCCTACAGCCCCAGTATAGATCAAGCCTTCACCTCTTGCCTGAGTTATTCCAGTCTCCTGACTCTTCCTCCTGTCTGGGTCCCTTGAGTCTGCCCTTCACTTGGTCCCAGAGAGAACTCTAAAACACTTAAATGTAAAGCCTTGCCTGCCTAAACTACAATGGCTCTCAGTCTGAAGTTTACTCAGCACAATGCCAAGGCCCTGTTTGCTCTGGCCCCTCTCAAACCTGTCTGGTATCACCAATCACTACTTCTCACCATTCCAGCCTCTCTTCAGACACATTGAACATGGGCAAACATGTGCCAGGCCCCACCCCCTGGTTCATTCATTCAACTGTTTACTGAGGTCTTTCTCTAAACCAGTCCCTGAGGCCATGTGCAGGAACAAGACAGACTTGGTCCCTAGCCCCAGGGAGCCTACAGTCTGGTGGGAAATACAGATGTTAATCAAATAATGGGTTGACTACAATGAAGAAAGTTCATGATTATGTGAGTTTGTAACTGGGTGACCTCATCTAGTCTGAAGGGATCTGGAAAGCTTCCTTGAGGAAGTATTGTCTCAGCTGAGACTTGGAGAAGAATAGATAACGGGGACATGGGAGGTAATGTAAAGGGGTAAGGGGGCCTGGCCAGGTACTGTGACAAACAGCCTCAACCAGAGGGGTGGCTGATGTGTCATTACACCTCAGCTCATTGCTGCCATGCAAGAATGAGGACCCATGTCACTAAATTGTGGCTTTTCAAGAAGAATCAGAAATCTGGATTTTTATGTGAGTTTTCTCATTTTTTAAATGTTGACGAGGAAATCATTTTTAAAACACACCTGCCGAAGAAACACCTAAGATCTGTCCATTTTGTGTATTAATTATCCCTCAATTGAAAAAAAAAATCTGTAAGCCAAATAGGTCCACTGGCTGCTAGTTCTTGACTTCTGACTTAGCTGGGCATTGGGGTGGAGAGGCAAGGGGCTTCCAGGCAAGTGTTGTTGCAACAGAGAACAGAGAAAATAATCTAAGGAGAGGTGGGGAGATGGGCAGAGTCCAGAATGTGAGAGCCTTGAGGATCTTGAACATAATTCCTTAAGGCAGGAAGAAGCCATTAGAGAGTGTTAGGCTGGGGAGCAACTTTATCAGATTTGTTCTTTGAAAGGGCACTCTGGCCACAGGGACACAGATGGACTGGCTGCAGTGAAAGCATATGTAGGAAGACTTGTTTGGAAATGAAATGGTCTCTGGGTAAGAGAGGCAGATGGCAATGGAAAGGAAAGAGGGCAAAATTCAATAGCTATTTAGGAAGTAAAATCAACAGGACTTGATGACTGTATATAGGCAATGAAGGAAAGGGGTGGAGTCAAGAGAACAGGTTGAGGCCAGGCCCAGGGGAGGACGGGACCTGTGGGCAGTAAGTATGCATCTGGGCCTGTGGTAATGTGGGTCTACACAGCCTTCCTCCTGCAGACAGTCTGCTGTATGAGCTCCCAAACCATACTTAGCATGGGACAAGCTCCAAGCTACACGGCTTTATTCCAGTTGGCAGCTGAACACCACACAGCTGGGGCCCTGCTTTACTCTTCTTTGCAACCCTGGAGCCCAAGCCAGTTCCAGGCCTAAAGTGGGTACTTGGTACACACCCTTATCCAACCTCAGTACTCCGGGGCCCTGAGGGGGCCTGCATAAAGAAGGTAGCTTTGATGGAAGGAAGGAGAACCATCCCAGGCCTGGAAATGGGGGTATCAGACCAGGTGGCTCTGTGAGCCTCCAACACTGCCCAAAGCAATAGATGTGGAGAGGACAAGACCCTGAAGTCATGTCAGTGCCTCAGGGCAGTCCTTCTGGCCTCACTGGGTACCAGCTGTGTGGCCTCAGGGAGTCACTTAATATCTCGGAGCCCCAATTTCTTCATTATTAAAGTGGGAGGAATACCTCCCTTACAGACTATTATGAAGATGGAATGAGATAATCCATGCACAAGGGTTAGCACAGTGCCTGGCACATGTAAGTACTGAAGAAATGCTGCTTACCCTTGTTCACTGCTCTGATTCAGCTCACTCTAAACCACGTGCTTATTAATCTGGCTTTCCAGGTACACTGATGGTAGAAGCCAGGTAATCCTGAGTGTGTGGGATACCTACCCCAGATAATGGGAGGAATGTCCCATGAAGCATTCTACTTAATAGCATTGACTAAGGCCTACTGGTCACCTCTGGGAAAGTCCAGTTTTCCATTTACAGAGCTGATGACTAGGCTCTGGGCCCTAGCAAACCAGGAAATCCCCCAGTGACACTGCTGGTATCTGAGGACGACAACCTCCTGTATTGTCCTTCTCCACATACCTGTGCTTGTCACTCACCAGCCCAGAGCTCTGGGGTTTCCCACAGTGGGTGCTCACACTTACAGCTCCTGCATTCTGCTGCTCACATACACATCCTTATGTGCTCCTTGTCCCTACCCTGGGAAGCAAGCAGAGTCTTCCTGTCACACAGAGGAAAAAGATAAGCCCCAGAGAGCCGGCAGATGCTGCTCAGCCTTGTGCAACCCTGAAAAGACTTCCAAGTTCATCCCTGTGCACCTCCTTTAGCTCACCCTAGCCCTTCTCCCCACAGAGGCCAGGAAATCATGAGGTACATACACAAGGGCACACTCTCATGGGCACCCTCTGGATGGGGCACATGGCCCTTTGCTGTACCCCAAGCTCCCTGCTTTGCAGCCACGCCCTCTGCTCCTGGGGTTTGTGGCCAGGGCTACAGCAGTCACCACTAGGCTCATGCAAGTTCATGTCTGTCCCTGTTCTCAGGAGTCTCCAGGGCATCTTTAGCCCTCCTCTTATCAATTCAACCTTACACTTAAAGGGTCTAATTTACAAAATCAGTGAGCTCCTAAACAGTCCCTGCTACAGCATAATAATCTGTCTGTAAATAAAACCACATTTTAAATGTACCAAGGAAACTTACTATGTAAAAGAATTCTACCGTGACTCTTTTTGAAAAGTGAAAAATTCTTTCATAAATGGAAAAATTATTCTCTAATTTATCCCTTGCTGAGCTCTGGACACAATTAGCCTAAAGGCTGTCTTCTGTATTTGCTCTTGTGGTACCTCGGTTGATGAGGTTTCCATCTGTGGGGGCTTTAAATGCTCCAAGGTATGTTAGGTCTGTCTGCTCACCCCATTAGGCAGTGGGGTCAGATAAGGGTTGGAGGTCAAGCAGGCAGGTAGCTGGCCCCCTGGGCAGAGATGGGGCACACCTGAGCTTTCTGAGGCACTGGAACCCAGCTTCAGGCCTCTACCATGTTGTCCCTCCATCAACTGCCCCCACTCCTCCAGGCACCGGTCCCACACTTTCTCAAGGATACAGCATAGCCAGCAGGCACCCAATTGTGAGGCAGGAGGGGAACAAGGACCCCAAAGCCGATCACAGCGAAGAAGAGGTACAGCAGCCAGGCCACAATCTGGAGCGGGTGAGGGGGCCAGCTCCACCCATTCCGCCGGGACCGCTGGCCCTGCAGCTCTGGGGAGGGTCTGCTGGCCTGCGCAGGCGCTGTCCACACATTCTTCTCGGGGGCTGTCTTGTTGGAGGGCTTGTTGCAGATGTTCATCTCCGGAGGGAGAAAGAGTAGAGCAAGCATTAGATTAACGAGACCAAGCTAAGGCCCAGAGCCCCATGCCTGCAGCCAGGTTCCAGAGGGGGGAGCAGGCTGGGATATGAAGAAGTCTCCCAGCTACTCTGCAGGGGAACCCTGGGCTCTAAGCATAACGACAGGCAGTGGGGGAGGGTGGTAGTAGAATGCTGGTCTCAAGGCCCCAGGGCAAGCTCTGGCCCCAGCCCTGGCTGGGACAAGGTGGGAGGCTCCAGGGTTTATTCAGGACACGGTGTGGCTGCCCGTTACTCAAAACACTGTCTCCACAGCCATCAAAGTTAAACCCAATAAGACATGTTCTCATCTGGTAACAATATCAGGCTGGGGCCAGAGCAATGAGAACACATGCTGATTCTGTTAGCATTAGTCACCTCTGTCCTGAGGTCCAAATGCAAGTGTCAGAGAGGGCCCCCCTACCATTTGCTAAGGGAAACGGGGTGGGGTTACACAGGAAGATCTGCTCTCTGCCCCTTGGCAAGCACCCAACCCCTTTAGGACTGGGGGACCCTGAACCATCTCCCCTGTGTCTCAGAAGGGCACCAACTTCTTGGCTGGGGAGGAGTCAGCACACAGGAAAGCGGTGAGGATTCAATTCCTCTTTTGTTCCCTCCAGAAGAGGAAATGACCATGTTTTTCTAAGTAAATCTGGTCCTGGTGTACTGAGACTAGAAAGGTGGGCTGATGCCCTTTTACTCACTTGAGGGAGCTCAAGGAAGGTCAGGCCTCAGCCAGAGCCAGGTCACCAGATGGCAGCCATCCTTCTGCCCAAGACCTGGCCGGGCAGCCAAAGTTACATGCGGGGCAGGCAGAGTGGGCCTGTCCTTAGAGGAGGAAGAGCCCCTCAGTATATTCTTGGCCTGAGGTGGGACTCAAGCCTGGACGGGCAGTGCCACGCTTGGGGAGAGAGGTCAACCCACAGCTCTTGGTGGGAAGGCCAGGAGACAAAACCCTGGCAGTGGGCATCTCCTCTCAGAAGCCCCGACTGTGGGCCAGGGAGTCTGAACACACCAGAGGGTAAAGCAGAGCCCCCTCAGCACATCTGCCTGGTACGTATGCCTTCCTCGATTCTCAGCCCAAGGAAATGTGACTTGACCTTCAGACCCCACTACAAGTATCACCTCACCGAGGAAGCTGTCCCTGAAGTCCCAAGCTGAGTCAGGGGGGCCTCATGCTCAGCTTTTATTGAGCAAATCACTTTGCCATGCCCACGTCTGCCCCCATTATGCCAATGTACTGTGATTCATTCACCTCTGTTCCCCACATCCTCTACCCCAAGCACCCACAACATACCTTGTACATAGTAGGTGCTCAGTAAATGTTTGCTGACTTGAAAACATGAAATAAAAGGAAATGTGGACGCAGTAAATGATGTAGAATCCTGGTATACCAGAAGCCATCCAGCCTTCAATCTGCCCAGCCACCGTACACCCATACCTCCCCTGCCCCAGCCCCCAGCCCCGTGGCTATCACCCTGGCTACTGGACGTCTGCATTTAGCCGCTCTGCCTTTCATCCTGCCTGGGTCTCAGAGCCTCTTTCTGTAAGCCAAGCCTGGCATAACGGAAGCCGCCTCCTAGGAGCCTCATCTCCAAACTAAATGGAGTTACCTTAGTTTCCTCCCAGGGACTCAGGTGGAATAATCTGGTCATTTGCTTTGTCTTCAACAAGCCACAAAAGGTGACAAAAGAGCCCCAGCTTTGGAAGAAAGAGATCTAAGTTCAAGTCCTGGCTCTGCACTTACTAGCTGAGTGGCCTGAGTTTCTTCTGAAAAAAGGGAGGCATGCCCAGCTAGGGCGATGCACAGATCATTAACACACACACACACTTTCTAAGTGGTAGGCATTAGAACAGCCCTCTGGGCTGTCCTCACCTCTCCAGACTGAGGCTCCTGCACCTGACATGCTATGAGATGTACGTCCAAAGTGATGGGGCTAGATGAGGTTGCTTTCATGTGTCTATTGTCCCAAGGAACACACTGTCATAAGAGCTGGGCCACTGGACGGTCATTCTAATGTCTCACCTTAGATCAAAAGTGACAAAGGTGATCAAACAGCTGGCATCACTGTATTTTGAATATCCCCATGGGTAGAAAATCTTTGTCCTTGATTTTTGGAAACAGGCAAAGATTATCAGTTCAAACCCTGTGAATACACTTGTTTCCTTCTGCCATCATTACACCTGAACAGCCCCACACCTTGAGGGGGTTTCTAAAGAAAGATGCAGAGGCACAGGTCCTTGCTGCCCAAAGTGGGTTGGCGGTGGCCACAGGCCCCCCCAGTGCTGCTGCATCCCCTCTACCTGAGGCTGTAGGAGTCACCATCTGAGGCCAGGGAACAACCACAAATAGCCCTGGGCATGGCTATGACTCTAAACCAGGACACCCTCAGCCCACTTGCAGGAGACTGTGGGTGAGGGGATGGTGCCACTGGATCTAAGTCCCCTGCAGCAGTGTAGACACCTGAGCTGGCGAGGGGGCATGCCACCTGCCCCAAAAGCCTAGGCCAGAGCCAACTCTTAACTGATGACATTTTTCCATGCAGCGTCGGTGGCCACAGATATTTTGGCCCAAATATTTTGATTAGAAGGGTTGGGAAGCAGAGAGAATCCCAGATGGGGGCCTCAAGCACAGCTGGGACCAAGCACTGTCCTCAGACCCAAGGACTTCCCTGGCTGTCCCTCCTCTCTCAGCACGTTCCTAGGAGACCAGCTTGAAAGATGCATGGCTCTGCTCTGGGACAATTCAGCCAGCCAGCTTGTGCACTGGCCCCCTGGCCCAGTCAGCACTTCTTGGGGCCCAGCCCCTCTGTGCCCTTAGGATGTCAACACAGATGGGAACAGGCCCCTGACTTCAGGGGCTTGCTTTCTGGGGGCTCAGGCAGACGCAGAGGGACATCAGGGCAGTGGGTGAACGGGTACTTTGGTGGCCTTGCAAGGGCCAACATTCTGTGTGACAGATAGAGTGGATGGCGTAGGGGGCGAGTCCAGAGAGGAAGAGATGAGCACTGGGGAGCTGCAGGATCAGATCCTGAGAGGCCAGGTGAGGAAGCCTGGGCACTGGTGAAAGAGCCACCAGAAGTCATTGGAAGTTTAAAGCAGGGAGTGACATAAAGGTGATGAGTGTTTTAGAAGCTTTCTCGTCACAGTGGGGAAGAGGGCATGAGCCAGAGGGAAAGGGAAGAGGGGAGGTGACACTACAGCAGGCTGGCCCAGGGAGGGCAGCAGCCTGGCGGCCCTGTGCTTTGGAAGGAGTTGGTGGGGAATTGGAGGTCAAGCCCACAAGCCTCCCACACCCATCTACCCAACACCCCCAGCTGCATCTTTGGTGGGCTGAGAGGGATGTGGGCCCTGATAAAAGATTTCTCATGTACCTTCTGCTGCCGTAAGACAAACCACAGAGTTAATCTGGCATAGATGGAGGGAAGACAAGAGCAAAGAGGCCCCATAGAGTGCTCTGGCTAAAGGCAGCCATAGCCTTGGGAAGTCAAGGGCCCACAGGACTTCTGAGGTGGTGTGGAGGGGCTATGCAGGCCTCTCCCATGTCCCAAAAAGGTGAAGGCCATTGCCAGGAGGACAGTATTCTGTTTTTATGTTAACATTCACTTGCTAAAAGCCTAAAACAGCATTTTCAAAATAACATTAGGCTACCTTAAATTATGTCTAATTTAAATGAAGGCAATCGTAATATTTCAGGTTCTTGTTATGAACTGCAGAAGTTATATGACTGATCCACTTCCCCCTTGTCCACTTTGCTCCCACCAAAAAAATATTTAGGAATGTTGCACTGAGATTCATGAATGGCACTGTCAACAGAACCAGACCGAGGTGAAAATTACTTGCCCTGGAGAGGCTGAGGGCATCCCAGCATTCTTGCAAGATGCCTGAGGACTTCAGGACAGAGCCAACTTAACTACCGACTAGGGTTTGCTGGGGGAGGCTGTGGAACTGAGGGGGTAGAGTTATGGGCTCAGAGGAGAGGTGATAGGGTTGATGGGGTGCCTGGAGGACCTGGAGACCTGACAGACCAACAGGGAGAGAAGCAGGTTGGAGCTAGGGAAGAGGGCTAGGCCTGGAGATAGAGCCTGGTTCAGGTTTCCACACTGCCACTCACAGGTTGTGGAACCCCAGGAGGCAAATTTTGTAGCACCACCTCTTTGGGAGTCACCTTTACCTACCTTTCAAAAATGTTAGCTGGAAGGCAATCTGGCAATGTCTACCAAACTTTCGAACACATATACTCTTGGGCCCATACCTTCATATTTATGTTATACATATACTCACAAAGGACACAAAGATTTACTGCGGTCTTATTCATAATAAAAGACATAGCTTATTATAATAATAAAGGATAAAAAGCAGTATAAACAAACTATGGCATATACACACAACGCAATGCTATGCAACAGCAAAAACAGTGGGAGATGAGATGACCTTTGATACACAGTTAAGTGGAAAGGCAAGATGTGGGACAGTTTAGAACCTGCTAGGTAGTAAGTGACCAAACACAAAGGAGGAGGGAGAGACATCTATGTCCCTCCACATATGGATTCCCTCTGGAAAGAAATGCAAGAAAGCAAACACAGAGGCAGATTCTAGGAAGGAGATCTAGTGGCTGGGGGTCAGAGAGATTTGCTTTTACTGTGTACTCTTTGGGACTGTTTGAATTTTTTTTTTTACTTTGTGCATGTACTGCTTTTGGAAAAAAAGTATGTCAAATAATTGAGGGGTGTCCCCTCTTACCCTCCTGGCCCCACTGGTCTGCTGTGTGGATCAAACGTGCTCATGTGACCCAGAGCCCTACACCACACCAGACTAACAAGGAGATCCTGCCTAACAACCATACAACAAAAAGGTTGTTTTAGTTCAGTGTTTTCTCACTCTTGAAAGCAATTCTGAGTTGTTGGGCTGCAGAACTGTGAAGACCAGTCACAGAGCTCCCTACAAGCTGTTCAGGGTCTCGTCAAAGCTGGACTTGGACACCAGGCAGTACAACAGAGGGAGGACTTGCTGGCAGGCCCTTGTTCCAGTCCTCGGCCCAAGGTTTCCCATGACTCCAGAACCCAAAGGAAGGCACGTGCCATAGGGAGGTTTTGCTCCCAACCATGTTTTCTTTTTGTTGGAAGATTTACGGTTGCCATGCAAGTGATGTTCTACAGATATTTCTAAATGAGTTTTCAGGGTTTATTCCCCCAGAATCTGTTTCTAAAATAATTTTCACTGAGATTGAACAGATGCTAGATTCAACCACCTAAAGAGGAGCTGTAAAGAAAATGCTGCATGGTGCTGTTTTACAGCACAAAAAGTCATCCATGAAAGAATTTACAGGAGCAAGTACTTTATGAAAATTCTCCACAGGTGTCACTGAAGTCCCTGGCCTTAAAATTCTGGGAAATGGCTATAGTTTGACTAAGATGCACATCATAATTCCCAGGAAATAAACTGGGACTTCAAGTTGTTCTCATAGACTTTTCCAGTCATTGGTCTAAGATGCAGATGGTTCCTCATATAAACAGCAAGCAGAAGTCTGATGCTAGGGCAAAAAAAGCTTGAAACCTCAACTACTCCTGAGTTGACCTGGTCTGAAACATTTTTTGGGCTACTCTTCTGAAGCAAGCACTGCAAACTGTTTGGAATTCAAGTTAAGCCCAGGAAGGGGGACAACAAGGAGGGAGCAACGTGAAGCAGAAACAAGGCCAATGAGCAGAGGCAAGTGTTGTTGATTTTAAGAGGGAAATCGGCTCACATGATTGTAGGAGCAAGCCTTGAGAACACCCACTAATAAACAGTCATGAAGAACAAAGTGGTGACAGAATAAAGTAAGAAAAACAAACAAACAAAAAACCCCCCGGCTACTTTAGCACCAATGTTGCTTTTATTGCGTCTCATGGTGATTATCTGTTTACAAACTCATCTCCCACAGTGAACCGCCAATTCCACAAAAGGGACCACCCCTCACCCAAATCCAGCTCTCCTTCAAAAAGGGAAATTAAGCCACTTCTTACCATCTCTGCTGCCATCACACTAATTCAAGCCTCCATCATTGCTCCCCTACAGGGTTTCAAAGATAATAATCATCACTAGCATTTAGAGGGCACTTATTCTGTGCTGGGAACTGCTTTAAGTGCTTTGACAGAACTCACTTATTAAAGCCTCACAACTCTCTGAGGTAGGTCCTATCATTCCAAACTGCTCCCACAGACCTCACCAATCACTGGTCTCATGTGCCGGCCCCTCACTTTCTCATAAACAACATGCAGAACAATATCTCCCTTTCAGAGAAGAGGACACTGGGGCTCAGAGGGATTAAGTAAAGTTTTTAGAAGACACAGCTGGACTGAAAGAATTAGAATGGACCCTCAACTGACTTTTGGGTGTGCCCTGGCATAACTACGATGCCCACAGCAGCCAGAGGGAGGTGAGTTTTTCAAAACTTGACACTCATCAAAACTCAATGGTTTCCTCCTTCTGCTAGGATGAATTTGAAACTCCAGCCACATCCCTCAAAGTTCCCCTCATACTTTGTTCCTTAACCTTACTTCCCAGCCTCCAGACCTCTGCATTTGTTTCGCCCTCCTCCAGAAACACCCTTCCCCTCCCTATTCACGGTGCTGGCTCCAACCCTCAGGTCCTAACTTCAAAGTCACCTTTCACAGCTGGCGTCCCAGACCACCTCACTCCATTTCATCACCAGAGCACGTATCCCAGCCTCAAATCACTTCAGTCGAGTACCTGGCGCCTGCTCTCTGACCGCTCTGAATACTCTGAGGATTCTGGAGACCAGAGTGTGTTTGGTGCCCACCGTGGCCCCGCGCCTGCAAACAGCAAGCGCCCAGTGCAGATCTGTGACCGTGATGAATGCCAAAAGGAAGCCCCGCGCTTTGCCCAGTCCCTGGAAGCCAGGCCGCGGGGCTCCAGGCCGAGGCGAGCGCAGAATCCCATCGGGCGGCGGCAGCCGCGACCCAGAGGCGCCGGCCAGACTTCGAGGTGAGAACCGCGGCGGGGGCTCCTCACCTGCGCGAGGTGGCGGCCGAGCCAGATCGGCCCTGCCAAGGTCACCCAAAGGTTCAGCCCCGGCGCCTGGCCGTCCGCCCAGCGCTTTAGACCCTAGCTCCGGCGACGGTCTGCGGGACTGGGCGGCCGCACGCCCCGGAGTGGGGCCCCATCTCGGGCGGCGAGTCAGACGTAGGGCCGGGAGGTCCTCGGCCTCCGGCTCAGCAAGTTGGCTGTACTGCCCGGCCAGAACGAGACGGGCTCGGCCTCGTTCGGCGCCGGGCCCGTTCCCCTGGCAACGGCGCGGGCTACGGCGCCCCACAGCGGCCAAACCGCGCTGCGTCACTTCGCGCGGGCACCCAAGCTTGAGGCGGGGCGCACGATGGACAACCCCCCACCCTCAGCGCCCCAGCGGGCCCATTCTTCTCCAACATTTCTACTTGAAAACCTACTTTTCCCCACCCCCAATCCACAGCTTTTCTTAATTTGTCCCAAACGCCCTCTCCTCCAGTGTCTCCCATGAGATCCCCGCTCTCAAGAAGACCCACAGTTTGTCTGCACATTTTAATGGAGTATATGCTGGACACTATACATACCATGAGGAACATCCATGAGATCCCTCCCTTTAAGGGAGATTACAGGTTAAGGGGAAGACAGACAAAGATCCTACTGGGAGCCCCCATCTTCCAGTCTAACACGCTAGTGGTAACTTCAGTCTTGGTCTCTAAGGGGCTTCTCTTCCCCAGGTTATTCCAAGGACTCAGGGTCTCCTGCCACAGCAAACAGTCTGAGAAGCACCCTCTGGTCCTCTCTGTTACTGAGGCCCCAACCATTGTCTTGTCTCCAGGGGTTTCAGGGTTGGGCCCGGTGGGACTGTGCTTGCTTTCCTCTGGGCTGTCTGCTTCCTCTGTTCCAGGGCCTGCAGACTCTCTTTCCTTTCCCTGCCTGGGGTATCTCCCTGCTGGACTTTGCTCTCCTGAAAGCTCCTTCTCCCCTTCTTGGGAACACTGAAAGTGTGGTCTCCCACAAGCTCAGGATTCTCAAAAGACAAGAAGAGTCTTTGTCTTCTGCCCGCTGTCCTATCCATATCTCCAAGGCCCAAAAATGGTGAGCAGCTGGCTGGCTACCTGCTCAGAATGGGCTGGACAGAAAACATCCCTATCCCTGAAGTATATAAGCTACAAACATAATGATAAAACAACATAACAACTCCTGCTCTGTCACATGCCAATTGTGGGTCCTTGTATAAATGTCAATCCCTCCACTATACATATTCTTGTTTTCAGGACTGATAAACTCAAACTGGTTATGGAATAAATATCAATACTACTCTGGCCTCAGAAATACTAAATGATTTCCCAACTCTTACCTGGAATTGGAGAATTTAGGGTCAAATGGAGTTTGTGACCCAGTAATCATTGTGAAAGTGAAGCCATTTGTGCCCACAGGGAGGGAAGGGACCCGAGGATTACAGCCATCTAGACTCTGGGTCCACCTACCTCTGAAGTACCTCTCCTGCATGTCCCATGGGTCTCTAGATGTAACACATCCTTATATGCTCTCTTTGTCCTTGACATACACCTGCTCCTCCTAGTCCTTGCCCATCTAACTCAGACAGCCCCCAAGGTTAGGCAATCCTCTGAAAAGTCCTGTGTCCATTCTTCCCACTCCATTCTAGCCCAGACGCCCAGCATCTTCCTTGCTGAGCCTGCAGCAGTCTCATCTCCCAAATCAGCCTGCCTACTTCTAGTCCATTCTCCTCCTGGTTGCCAGGGTTATCATTCTTTTCCTTTATTTGTTAAAGGGGGTGGTAATCTGAATAACGGCCTCCAGAGATGCTCACATCCTAATCTCTGGACCCTAATGATATGTTACCTTATATGGCAAAATGGACTTTGTAGATGTGATTAAGTTAGGGATCTTGAGAAGGAGGAGATTGTCCTGGATTATCCAGGAGGGCTCAGTATAATCACAAGGGCCCTTAACAAGAGTGAGGCACAAGGGGCAGAGTGGGAGAAGGAGATGTGATGATAAACAAAGGTCAGAGAGATTCAAAGATAACACATTGCTGGCTTTGAAGATGGCGGAAGAAACCATGAGCCAAGGAACACAGGTGGCCTTGAGAAACTGAAAAAGGTGAGGAAACAGATTCTCCCCTAGAGCCTCCAGGAACCCGGCTGGCACCCTGACTTCAGCCTGGTAAGACTCATTTCATACTTCTGACCTCCCGGACTGTAAGATCATAACTTGTATAAAGGCACTAATTTTGTGACTATTTGTTAGAGCAACAATAGAGGAATAATGCAGTGAGTTTCAAATAGGGTTAAATACACACACATATAACCAAGTAAAGCTGTTTCATTTAAAACAAAATCCAGGTGGCAGCTCAGATTCCCTTGAGGTCTGTTTGCATGACTCCAGGCCAGACTCTCTGAGAAGAGGACTCCCTCTTGCCAAATTTGCTTTTGAAAAGGCACAGGCAGCTTGATGGTGTTCTTCCTGAGTCTGTCATCACTGTGTGGTCCCCAGTCTGGAACCTGACACTGCCCAGGGCATCACCTGCTGAAGAAGGCCACACATTGCCTGCTCTCAGGCAGGCTGATGGCAGAGAAGTCTTTCTAATGTGAATACACCACTCATCAGGCTTCTGTTTAAAATACTTCCAGGGCTTCCCTTTGTCTTTAGGATCAATTGAAATGCCAAAGGCTTCTGAGGGCCTGCTTGGCAAGCTCCTTTCCACCTCCTCCTGCCTGTCCTCTGTGAGGACTGGGCAGCTCCTGGAACCCGCGGCACTCGCTCCCACCCCCAGGCCTTTTCCCACAGCGTTCCCTTTACTTGGAGTGTTGTTTCAGCTCCACCCACTCCCTCTGGCCAATTTCTATGAAAAAACGTGAGACATGCTTTTCTGGGACAGAAGTCAGCCCCTCGGGCAGGACTTGTTCCTGCCCAGAGTGGTTGCCCCTGACCCACAAGGCAGGTCTGCCCAGGGTAGAAGAGCCCAGGCCAGGGGGAGAACAAGCCCAACTGTGGTTTTAAGGGCTTGCACACAGGAGTGTGAGAAGGATCCAAGCTGGCTTACCTCACTTCTAGAACTGCCAGAGGAGACCCCTGAAAGGGCAGACGAAGTGAGTACATGAGCCCTGGGCCAGCACCAGCAGTCCATTTTTAAATTAGAGCCAGCGTGTGCCCGGGCTTCCTGGGACATGTCATTCGTCCCAGGGCAGGTCAGTGGTTACCCATTTCAATCCCAGCTCTACCAGTCAAATTCCTTAACCTCTCTAAATCTCAGTTCATTCCTATGTGAAATGGGGGTAGCAAGAGCTACTGCATTGGGCTGTGATGAGGCCTGAAAAGGTGGTCATGCCTATTGAGCACAGAGAGTGTTCAGCTGGTAGTAGACATTGATACGTATAATCTAGACCTTACTTGTCTTTATACCAGGAAATGATGCTATCCATTTCATCAGCTAGTGGAATTAAATTTTAATTATGAAATTAGCCTGGGTGGGATGTGGTCAGTCACAGCTCTTGACTCTCCGGTCCACTTTGTCTGGGTTGCAGTACCCTTTCCAGCAGGCTCTGCATGAGTCAGCCCATCCACTTGGATTGTCCCCATGGCCACCAGCATCTCTCGCCTCAGCAAGCACAGCAGCCTCCTGACTGGTCTTTCTGCTTCCACTGTGGGCAACCTACCCCGGTCGGTCCATTGTCCTTACAGTGCGTGGCTGTCAAAAGAAAAAAAAAAAGCCAAATTGATTGTTTTACCTCCTGCTTACAACCCTCAGTGCCTCTCTCTGCTCCCCAGGGAGAAGTATTTCCATATACTATGAAATTAGAATCGACGCCTCCTCCTCACAGCGGTCTCCAGTATCTCCCTTGCCCCTGGCTCTGACTGACCCCTGCGGCCTCATGGCCTCCCTTTCCTCAACGGCGCAGAGTGCCTCTTATACTAGGGTCTTTGTATGAGATGCTCTTGCTACCTGGAACATTGCTTCCCCCAGGAAAGCTTCCTCTGATCCTCAGAATAGAAGAGGCTGTCACTTCCATAGCACCATGGGACTTTGCTTTCTAGTTCCTTCTGTCAGTGGCTCCCTGATTGTGTAGTGATCTGATTAGGGACTGTCCCTGCAGCCAGAGACCAAGGGAGGAATGATACTTATCTAAGCTCACCAGGGCTTCCCTAGTACACAGCCTAGAATACTCAATGCACTCAATCAAGGTTTGTTGAATGAAAGAAGGAAGGAAAGAACAAAGAAAGGATAGTGGTACTCTATTTATAGGAATTCTTTTGTCAAGCCTTTTGTAAAGTAAATAATACTTGACTTACTTTCGGTGTAAAAATTGACTTTCCTATATTACCATCCCTTCAACAGAATAAATCTATTTTTCCCATATCCCTTGTAAAGATTTTTTTTTTTTAATTTGGTACATACAGGACATTTTCCTCCCATTCATTTTCCCTTTAAGTGTTTTTTTTATGACCACTTTGTGCTTTAAGAAAGAAGTGCTGTTCAGTATTTAGAATATTCCCTCCTCTTCCTTGGTTAGAAGGTCCTGGCAGCTTTCCTACTGTTGACTATAAGCAGTGCAGCTTAGAACACGATGTCATCCCTCCAGAACTCCCTCAGACCCAGATAAAACTTATCCTGTGTCTCCACTTGGGGACAAGGTGTTTGGAAACAACACCTTATGCAACAGAGCTGCTGCAGGGCTGTCCCTTGGAGGCAAGTGAAATAAAAATCATGGGGTGTGGAAAATGTGCCTGCAGAATCCTAGGAACCAAAGTTTCTCTGCCAGTAATTCAGTTTTTATTTTATGTTCCTTGGACAACTGAAGGCTTGTATTTACCACGTATGTTACCTAAGATGCAGAAAGGTAGGGTAGCAGGGAGGTAGGTACCCTGTGCTGGTAAGGATTTTCATGGCAGCCTGGTCACAGCTCACGTCTGGAAGCTGCCTGCCACCCAGCGCTGCATGTGCTCCCTGGGGAGGGGTATTTCCACTCAGCTTGAAATCTTTTTGCTTGCTCACCCCTGTGGGGAATAGTACATGCATGAAAAGTTGTTAGCTCTTACTTTATTTCAGAAATGTGCCCAGCCGAGACACCTGAATTTTTCCTCGAATACTTTAAAGCCAATTATGTGCCGGAACCTCTCAGGCTTGTTCCCAGCGGAATTTCCTTTGAGTGTTCATATCTCAAAACTTTACGTAACCTGACACAATTATCTGAAAAGCCTCGGAATCCAAAAGAACAGTGTTCTGAGCTAGGAATGAAGGTGGGAGCTGGGAGAGAAGTGTTCTGCCTGGGGACTGGGTCATGCTTCACTGCGACAATGCCCAATTCCAAAAAAAAATGCTAACCCCCTGACACTGTGACCAGTGGGCACACTTGCTTCATCTCTCTGAACAAAAAATGGCTTAATGAGGTGCTCAAGAGGCATTATAAAGCTCTGGACCCGGCTGGTGGTTAAAAATATTTTCATAACTGCCTTGAGCAACTGGTCTTCCCAGGATGCAAGCAAGAGTGGCTTGGGCCCCTATCAAGAGAGAGATCACCCCCTCCACCTACTCAAAAGTCAACCCATATGAGAGCTGAAGTCTCAGGCCAGAGGTTAGTGCTGCAAATGGCATGTATGTGGGGGATTGGAGTCTCTGTTTTCACCAAATGGTTGGTGCAGGTGATTCTGACCCAAACCCAGCCCCAAACTCCCTCCTCCAACCTTCAACCCAAGGGAAGCAGAGGGAGAGGGAGGGCACAAACTGTAAGTGCAGACCTGAAATTGGGGCACCACTAGGAGATAACCCCAAATTCCCAGAAGCCCTCGGCATTGTTTTCACTCTTGGAAATGCCAGCCTCCTCACGATTTGCATACCAGCAGTGAGGGACCTCCAAGGAGAAGGCACCACTCAGAGGTGGTTGGCTTTTCAAGGAATTCGTTAGAGAAAACTGTAAGCAAGGCTGTGAACAAACCCCCCTCCATCTGGTTTCAGTTTACTTAAAAAATAACACTCACAGTTCTCCCTACCAGCAATCAGAAAACAGGTCAGCTTCCCTTGGGGGCTATTAGCCACCAGAGGTGGGGCTGAATTATGTATATGCAAATAAATTAAATCAGCCAGCCAACAGCAACTAATTTTTATATCTTTTGCAGTTGTTCTGCCAAAAAAAAGGCCTGAATCAGGGATAATAGAAGCTGTATGGAAGCAAGTTTTGGAATTAGTTTTAACAACTTGCCTTATTTCTACCATTGGAAGACCTGTTCCTAATCCAGAAGCAAATAAATAAATGGGCATTGCCCACTGCATAATGCCAGCTTCCTAGGGTGAAGCCAAAGGGTGATCTGATGGTTAGAAGCACGGTGTCTGGACAGCTGTATGGCTCCGGGCATGTCACTTAACGTCTCTGAGACTGTTTTCTTATGTATAAGAAGGGGATAATGATAGTACCTGATTCTAGGGATGATGTGAGGACAGTAGATAAAATAAAGTACAAGAAAATTGGATGCAGGACTGGCATAAGACACGCACACAGTAAATGTGACAGAGGATTATGAATAACTCAAAACCACACTGCAGGATACAAGAAGGCTGGTTTCATCTGAAGTCAGCCAAGCTCTCCCAGCAAGCTTTCTCAGCTGGCACTTGACTTTCCCCTGGGGTTGGTCCAGAAAACCCTTCAGAGTACATTCTCTTACTGTTTCCAAAACTCCAAGGCCCTAATCCCCAAACATCTACCTTCAATCCTGGAGACAGGAAGACCAGACAATTTAAAAGTACAAGTGATGCCCCCATGTCTCATCATCCCCTCTCCCTGGTAACCCAAGGGGCCTGATTTCTAGGTGTACAGCCTAGAGGGGGTACCTCTGAAAATGGGAAGGTGGGCTTCAGTTCCTGCCCAGGGCATGTTGAGGTGAATTGGCAATCTCTGGTCTCCCATGCTGTGTGCAGGATGTACCGGAGACATGGGCATCCAGCTGACTCTGGGCTCAGCCCTTGCATGTCCACGAGCACCTTGGGCTTGGTTTGTCCAAAAAGCAGACCTCTGTCCCTTATCTGCATTCAGCAACAGGACTCCTAGCCTCTGCTCTTCCCATGTCCCCAAAGCCATTTCCTGGCCAACCAGGACAGGGTCTCATTTGCTCAAGACCATTCCCAGCTCTCCTTTGTCTTTAGAATGAAGTCTGAGAGGGCACATGTGGCAAATGTGGCCCTGTATTAACACCTGAGTTTGAATCTTGAGGCTGGTCCAAGATAACAGAACATTATGAGTATCTCAAAGCCATACTGCAAGATCCAAGAAGGCCAGTTTCACCTGGAGTCAGCAAGAACACGTCTAGCAAGTGTTCTCAGTGGCAGCCTACCTGGTCCTGAGTTTGAGACCTTGAACAATTTTCTTACCCTCTGGAAGCCTCAGTTTCCTTGAATATAAAATAGTAAATATGACACCTACTACAAAGGACTATTAGGAAGCCTCTGCACCCAAGAGCTTGGGACGAAGCAAGAAGTTTGGAGGCCACTGTTCAATATGAAGAGAGGATGAGATGGGGGGTGGGGGGATGGGGGCTGCCAGAACTGGGGAAGATGATAAAACCAGCTTGGGACATGCTGAGTGTGATGGGCCTACGGGTGTCCACAGGAGGCATCCGCGGGCCTGAGGTCAAGAGCAAGGCCTTGGCTAGAAAGGAATGTGGGAGTCATCAGCATGTGAGTAAAAAGTTGAGCCATGGTGGGGGAGGGGCTGAGCATGAGGCCTCCACAGCCAGACATTCACCCACAAGGAAGGGAAGCTGGAAAAGGAGGCTGAGAGGTGGAGAAGGAGAACCAGAGGGAGGAGAAGACCAAGCAGCTGTGAAGTGGCTTCACAGGCTCTGAAGGGAGAAAGGCCTGGGGCAGTGACAAGTGGCCAGCAGGGCAGAGGCCTTGAGGAAGCCAAGTTAATTGAAAGCAGAGATGTGCCTATGGTATTTGGGGACTAGGATGTCATCCACAGGTGACCTTTGGTGAGGGGAAGCTGACTCAGAGCTATAGCTGGGCAGGGGAGAGTGGAAATTTTGATTGAAGAGTTTTTAGAGAAATGTGGCTGAGAATGGGGAGGAGAGAGAACAATGCTTAAAGAAAGGGATACAGGACTCAGGCAGAAGTTCTACATTGTGGTGACCAGTGGGAGAGGCCAGGGCCTAGTTCATGCTGCTGGGAAGGGGCCAGGTGTTGGTTATATCCACGGTGTCCAGCCCAGGGCCTGGGGCACAGTAGAAACTCAATAAAAGTTTGCTGTCTTTGAGGGTGGGGAAGATTGGGGTCTGTGACCTGGGTGAAGGGACTGGCCATTGGCAGGAAGAGGGGACCCTGTGCCATTGCGCAAGGAGCGGGGTGGTGATGAGGTGCTGGGATGAGTAGAGCGCCATGCAAGGCTTCCTTGGGACTCAGCTGCCTCTGAGCTGGACCACAGAGAAAGAGGTGACAAGGGAGTGCCTGGATCCAGTAACCCCACTGTGGTCAGGGGACAGACTGTGAGCTCTTGGAGACTGCCACTTGGCACCCCAAGATTCTGTTCCCTCCATCCTCAAATTCAGCAGTCATCTTCACTTTATCCCCTTCAGAGCAGTGCCTTCCCCCAAAGGCCAGCAGATGGTGCCAGTGAGCTGCTGGATTCCGTGGGAGTCGAGTCAGCCCGACAGCTTGAAACCCACCTGGTGGCCCTCAAGGCCTGGAGCTTGCTAAGGGCTCACCAGGTATCCTAAGGGTGTGTGAGTGCAGAGTGTGTGTGTGTGCGTGGACTAAAGGAGACTGTGAGCTAAGGACTTAGGTGAAGGGTAGTTCAGGGGCTCTGTTCCTTCTGCTTGTCCTTCATTCCTCAGGCCCTGGTTTATCTTCAGGAGCTCATGCCCCCTGCCCCCTTCCCTTCTTTTCCCTGAAGGCCCCTGCCAGCCCAGACTCCTGGTTCTGGCAGAGGCTGGTTCTCTGCCCTTGGGCTGGCATGACTGGCACCAGGCCTCAGACAGGGCTGGGCCAGCCCCTCCCAGACATGACTGCCCAAACCACCTTCTTTCTACTTCCAGAATGTCTCAACCTGATGAGGGGTAAAGGGTCAGCTACTGAGGAGCCACAGAGGGCTGAAGTATAGATTCTGGGCAGGAGGCCAGCTTTCTGGCCTAGGAAATGAGATGACTGTGGTGGGGGAGTGGCGGGGGTGGGGGGTTTATATAAAAATGTGGCAGATCATCCAGTCCCACAAGACCCAAACTACACAAAACTAAAGGTCTGTCTAAGGCAGCACAGCATCCCAGAAGCTGAGCTGGAAACACCCCCTTCCCATCCTATTCTCCACAGCCAAAGGCAATTCCCTACACCCCCTCTCAGCAAGTCTCTCTCCCCAGTATGGACTTCCCAGTGAATCGGGATCCTTCATGGTTTCTTCCTAGGACAGTATAGGATCCTGTTTCTCAGTCTCTGGTCTCACCTTGTTTTTCTGCTTCCACCTCCCTGCCCCTCAACTTCTGATCTGGCAAACACTGGTATGTCCTATGTAGGCTTGACCATTGCCTGGGGCCCCCATGCCACCCCCACCTCTACACCCCTTCTCAGCCCTAAGGGGAAGCCTTTAACAGGCTGAAATTGAAACCACAGCCAGACTGTCCGTCGGAGGACTAGAGCTGGGAGATCCCACCAGTCCAGGGTCTACAGCTCAGATCAGGAAGCCGAGCCAAGGGTGTTGTGTCCACCTCTAAGCCTGGCCATAGATTTAGGACAACAGGAATCAGCAGGTTTTGGAGAAGGAATGTTTCCTTGAGTTTCCAAAGGAAACCCAGACCAAGGAAGAGAGTCCCCAGAAACACAACACACACAAATGTATTCACATGCACATACAGGCTCACGGGACAGGGTCAGACACACATGTGTATGGGCAGGCCATAGAACCCATGGACACGAGTGTGTAGAAACACAGGCACATATAAGCACACAAGGTAGGCACAAGGCAGGCACACACACCCTCCCAGGCAAGTCCTGCTTCCCAGGACCAGGGCTAGTCTGTTATTTAGACTTAAAGAAGGAATACATGAGGGCACAGCAGGCCTCTGGGCAGGAGGTGGGCCTTCCACCCAGAGCCTCTCACCTTAAGTAGGTCTGCTCCCAGCCCTATCCCTGAGATTCCCCTGGCTCACCAGGGGGCCACACCTGGGTGGCAGAGAAAGCTTTGATAGAGCCATTGCTTTGAAGCCCTGGCACAGAGCCTGGACACCTAAGATAGAGAACGGGAAAGAGGGCAGGGAAGGACCATGACCTCCCAGGACCCAGAACAGGCATGGATGCAGCATTGGGCAAGGCCCAGAGGCCCACAGGAAGCAGGGACCTCCTCTGTCATGGGCTGTACCTACAGTCCTCAGCATAGGGCCTGGCAGCCAGGTACTGGCACCAGCTCCTAGTGCCTGGCAGAGCTCTGGCATAGATGCCAAGAACAGGGTGCCAGACATGGGGGTGGGTAGGGTGTGGGGCTGCTGGGCCACACACAAACACAGACCTTCATACACACAGGCAGACAAATGCACCCATACTCACACCACTTGTTTTATACCCTGGGAAATCATGGGAGCAGGGCACGTATCACCCTGTCCCAGAGGCCGCCCTCACTCCCAGGTGTCCCCATTGGCCTGGCTCTTGGAGTCCCTGAAGTTGGAGGATGGGCTAGAGGTAAGGTTAGGCCTAGATGCTTCCTCGACCCCTCCTCCCCACCCCCCTCCAACATAGCCTTGTGTAGCAGAAGGCAGGGTTGGTGCATTCCCAAAGCTGGGCCTTAAAGGGAAGGGGGAAGGCGGGGCAGAGACTCCCAGGAACCCAGTAGGTCATCCTGCTCCCTTCGGTCCGCACCCCAAGCCGGTTTTGTGGCCCCAGGCAGCGTAGGTGTGAGCATTTGTCAGGATGTGTGTGCGATGGACCTGAGTGCGGCGCGTGTTTGGGCGGCGGCGGCCGGGTGAGGGCGGGCCGGTTCCCCGCGGTGTTCCGGCAGGCCCGGCGTCTGAGGCTGTGCCGTCTGTGCGGGGAGCTCATGGAGGCTGTGCGTATCCTCAGGTGTCCTGATCAATGTGAGCTGGATGTGCTTACCTGGGAGCGGCGGCTCGGCGGCCCTGGGAGCGTGGGGTGTGGGGACGCAGGGCGAGCTTATGCAGGGCACGAAGCTAGACCGACCCACCCCCTCTCCGCGCGGCCCGCGGCAAGGCGGCATCTCCTTGAGCAGCAACTTTGGGACTTTGTTCCGGCTTCTTCGAAAGCGGATCAGGCCGCGGGGGCGGGGCAGAGGAAGGGGGCACCTGCCCGGAGGAGGATGCCTGGAGAGAAGTGGAGGAAAGCCCCGCCCCTGTCCCGCCTATGACCCGCCTTCTCCCCGCCCCCCGGGGCTCTTTATAAGCTCGGCCCGAGGGCGAACGGAGACCGCGAGTATCCCTCTGGCCACTGGCTGTGGTGTGCTGCAGCAACCCGCGCTTCTCGCCCCAGCCGCGAGTCTCTCTCCCCGATCCTCAGCCCGGCTCCCGACCCGCCTCACCCCGGCCTGGCTGCCATGGAGCGCTGGCCTTGGCCGTCGGGCGGCGCCTGGCTGCTGGTGGCGGCCCGTGCACTGCTGCAGTTGCTGCGCGCAGACCTGCGTCTGGGCCGCCCGCTGCTGGCGACGCTGGGGCTGCTGGCTGCGCTCGACTGGCTGTGCCAGCGCCTGCTACCCCCGCCGGCCGCCCTCGCAGTGCTAGCCGCAGCCGGCTGGATCGCGTTGTCCCGCCTGGCTTGTCCGCCGCGCCTACCCGTGGCTACTCGCGCGGTGCTCATCACCGGTGAGTGCGCGGAGCGCGGGGATTCCAGGCTCTAGGGCGAGACTTGACACCCAGAGGACCCCCCCTGAGCACGCCAAGGCAGGGAGGAGACCCCAGAGCAGGTATGGGAGAGTCTCCTTCTCTTGGGTGCGGGGAGAGAGCCAAATAGGAAGCGCAGGGCATCTCCCCAAGTCCGGGTAACTACCTGCAGCTGCGGGGAGTGTTGGAGGGAAAATGAAGGAGCAGGCAGGTGCTCAGGGAAAACTGGTGGCTGAGAAAGACGGAGCCTCCTGGACCCTGGGGTTTATGCTATGCTGCTCGCCAAGAAAGCAGTCTTCGGATAGATTTTGGTCACCCTTTGAACTCTGCCTAACACCCCCACATGTGACACCCCATCTGCTCTTCCCTAGGGCCAGGAAAGTGCTTAGATGGGGAGTTGGGACCCCCAAGGCCAAATTTGCTAGGGTCCTTGGAGTCCAGAAAAGCTTAAAGTCACCATGAGGGGGAGCTGGGCATTCAGCTGCCTCTAAGATCCCACCACCCACTCTTAATCTGCTGAGGTAGCAAGCCAGAGTCTGCACCCAACACCCCACCCCGCATTCCCTCTGGTCCTCGGTGCCCAGGAAAGAGGTCTTGGAGAGCTGGGCTCAGGTGCCTCTGGCCGCCTGGCTGAGCTCCCTTTGTCTGGAGCAGGGAATAAATCTGTCACCAGAAGAGGGAAGGGGGTTAAGGGGAGGCTGAGGCCCAGCGGGAAGTGTGGAGGGAGGAAAAGGCCAGGGGGCACTAGCTCCATTGTGTGGGGAGAGGGGCAGCCTAGTTTATCCCCCAACCCCCATGGCTGGTGCTCATGGAGCACTAACAGGTGCTCAGAGCTCTGCCTTGCATTGGGCCTGGCTGAGGGTAGCCACCAGATTGGCTTCTCAGAGATGTTGATCTAGTAGGGGGCCCTGCATGATAGATGGAGAAGAGATAACTTTCCAGAGGAGGACTTCTTGAGCTGGACCTCAAAGGATGAGGGGAGAAAGGTGGAGTGTGGAAGGTGTATTGGATCAGACCAAGGATGTGGGACAAAGGTTCCAGGCAAGAATGAGGATGGCTTGGGGAGGGAGCTGCTGGGATTGAGGTTGTTCCTCAGAAGGAGCCTTGAATGCTGGGCAGGAAGCCAGACTATGCTGAGGTAGGGTTGGGGTGAGGGTAGCACAAGGGTTTTGGCCTTTAGCAAAGAGGGTGGAGATAGAGCAGGACTCAGGCTGGATGAGAGAGACCTCAGCTCAGAGTGTAGTGGGAAGCCTCAGGGGACTCCAGTTTCAGGGATTTGAGGAAAGAAAGATGACAGACCCTCTAGGTATGAAGCAGGGACTGGGTCAGGAGCTCTGCCCCCAGGGACAGGACAGGACAGGACAGCTCCGCCCTTGCCTTGTAACTTGTGAGCTGCCTCAACAGGACCCAAGCCATCTGCAGATCCTAGTGACCCAGTGTGCAGTCTTTCCTGAGATTTCACCTTAGGCCTTTGTGCTACTGCTCCTATTTCTAGCCTTGAGCCTGCGAGTAAGGGGAGAGGAGGAATGGCTTATGTGACTTGGGCTCCCCCACCTCTGGGCAGAGAGCCATGCGATGGGGAAGGGGAGGAAGACTGCCCAGCCTACCCAGCTGAGCATCAAGAGTAGGCCTCCAAGCTTACCAGTGCCCAAAACTCTGGGTTTCCCCTCTCACCACCTAACTGCAAGACAAATAGGTGCCCAAGCCCTGCCTCACCTGCCAGGAACACTCCCTTGAGCTGGCTGCCATCTACCCTTCTGTAAGAATGCTCCTGAGAATCACTGGCTGAGGCTACTCCCAGAGCTCAACCCTGGGGTCAGGGTCTGGGCTGAGTGCCTGGGTGCCTCATGTGTGCATCTGTGCACTGGTCTCATGAGCTTTCATGGAAGTGGGCCTGTGTATGAATATACAGGCAGGTTAGAGGTATGTACAGGTATCTGTATGTATGAAGGTGAATAAGAGGTTATGCAAGGCATGGGTGACTGTGTTGGGACTGCAGAGCTGAGGCTCTGGGAGGCCTCAGTTTCCCTGTGAAGGGTTGGCTGGCAGGCCCCCAGCCATACAAAGCCCAGCTCACAGGGTAGGGATGGGATGGGGAAGAGGTGCATCGGCCTTGCAGCTTCTACTCAGCAGGACCACCACAGGGGCAGGCTCCAGAGGGCTTCTTTCCTCCCTCACTGGCCTTCCCCTCCCCTCTCTGGCCACCAGCCCTGCCCCCATAGCCAGGGTCTGAATGGGAACAATCAAGGAAGTAGGGGCTTATCAGACCCCCACTCTGGTTCTGCCTGGTGGTTCCTCTATCCAAATACCAAAGACAGGAAATTAAGCCTCCAAGAGTGGTAACTGACCTCAGATTACTTGTTCGGTGTGCGAAGGGATTCAAATGCAGGTCTGTTCTCTTCTCCATCAATCATCATCTGTCCTGGGGGCAAGTGGTCTGGGGTTCAGAGAATGCCCCGTTGTTGCCACTGATTGGAGTTACGAGGGTGAGGGTCGGGGTGAGGTGGGGGTGGGCTTCCAGTTTGCCAAGAGCCCGGAACAGTAGGAGGGGGTGTTGAAGCTGGGAAGGAAAGTGGAGCTGAGGTTGTGTAGAGCCTGGATGATGCGAGCAGAGGATTAAGGCTTCATTCTGATGGAGCCTTGGAAAGGTTTTCAGCAGTAGAATGATACTGTTATTTTTGGAAAGATCCCGCGGGCTGCTTAGATAGTGAATGGATTCAAGGGGGCAAGATGGGATGGGACTACAGAGGGACTGCTTCAGTGTCCAGGCAGCAGGGAGAGGCCAGGGCAAGGGTAGCGGGAGACAGCGGGTGGCTGTGCATAATACAGTGCACGCCAGCTGAGCCTGATAGCAAGAAGGCAGGAAGACATCAGGGCTGCGACTGGGTCTCAGGCTGACCTACAGTAGAGTCCTTTACTTTTGCTGAGTGACTTTGGGAAGCAGCTTAGCATTACTAGGTGTGTTTCCTCATCTGTAAAGTGGGACTCAAGCCATGTTTGATAGGGTCACTGTAGGAGTCTGGTGAGAAAGTACTGGTGCTCTGCCAGGGGGCAGTGTCTACCAGAGGTGGGTCTCAGAAAGGAGGGAGGGCTGATGACTGCTGGTAGATGGAGTGTTCAGGGGCCTGAATCCTGTCTGGACCCTGGGCCAGGGTTGTCTCAGTCTGGACTGGGCCACACTGGGAATTCACTGGCTTTCCTACCCTGGGCAGGCTGTGACTCTGGCTTTGGCAAGGAGACTGCCAAGAAGCTAGACTCCATGGGCTTCACTGTGCTGGCCACCGTGTTGGAATTAGATGGCCCTGGTGCCCTAGAGCTGCGTGCCTGCTGTTCCCCTCGCCTAAGGCTGCTGCAGATGGACCTGACCAAGCCAGCAGACATTAGCCGAGCCCTGGAGTTCACAAAGGCCCACACAGCCAGCACGGGTCAGTGGGCATGGCTCCACCAGGAGAGGGTGTGGCTGGGTGGGTGTGAAAGGCCAGGGGTTGGAGGTTTGCTGCTGGGCTGACCAGAAGCTTCCCTCCCCACTCCATGCCCTCAGGCCTCTGGGGCCTGGTCAACAATGCGGGCCACAACGATATAGTGGCCGATGTGGAGCTATCTCCCATGGCCACGTTCCGCAACTGCATGGAGGTGAATTTCTTTGGTGCACTCCAGCTGACCAAGGGTCTTTTGCCACTGCTGCGCCATTCAAGGGGTCGTATCGTGACCGTGGGCAGCCCGGCAGGTGAGTGCCCTCCCCAACTGGAGCAGAAAAGGTGCCTGCGGGGTGGGAGGGATGCTGGAGCCCCTGGCCCAGGCTGGAGCCCCTGATTCACTACCAATCCATCCCCAGGAGACATGCCATATCCATGCTTGGCAGCCTATGGGACCTCCAAAGCGGCCACGGCACTGCTCATGGACACATTCAGCTGTGAACTACTGCCCTGGGGGGTCAAGGTCAGCGTCATCCAGCCTGGCCTCTTCAAGACAGGTGGGGGTTGGGGTTTAGGGTGTGATGTGGTGGATGTGGGGCCTAGGGCTAAAGAAAGAGGGGTGGGCATGATCTTATCTGGGGTGGGATAAGATCTGGGATATGGGCACAGCTTTGGCTAGAGGTTGTGGGTTATGAGTTAGTTGGTTTATGGCTCTGGTTGTGGGTTAGTTGGTCCCAGGTCTGGTTTGGGTTTCCCTAATGACCCTATTCTGACCTTGCCACTCCTTCCCCAGAGTCAGTGCAAAATGTGGGCCACTGGGAGCAGCGCAAGCAGCTGCTGCTGGCCAGCCTGCCCTCAGAGCTGCTGCAGGCCTATGGCGAGGACTACATTGAGCACTTACACAGGCAGTTCCTGCAGTCCCTGCGCCTGGCACTGCCAGACCTCAACCCAGTTGTAGATGCCATCACCGACGCACTGCTGGCAGCTCAGCCATGCCGCCGCTATTACCCGGGCCGCGGCCTGGGGCTCATGTACTTCATCCACTACTACCTGCCCGAGGGCCTGCGGCGCCGCTTCCTGCACTCCTTCTTCATCAATCCTTGTCTGCCAAGAGCACTGCAGCCTGGCCAGCCTGGCCTTACCCCCGCCCAGGATACAGCCCGAGATGGAGACCCACTTCCAGGCCCGCATGGGGCCCGATGAGCCATGTGCATATATGGCCTAGCTGCTCTCACAGAAGAGGTCCCATGAGCCCTTGGCCCTCCCCTGGGCACTGTGATCCCCAAGTCTGCCCTAGGGCTTGGTGAGGCTGGGGCTTCCCAGTGAACCTCCAGGCCTTTCTACTGCTTCATGAGCCCAAACAGACCCTCCTGGGCACAAGGCTCTACCCTGCAGCTTGGAGAACCCAGCTGGATGGGGAGCTTAGTGCAACACTTAGCTGTAGCCTTTGACAGGATCTTGCAGACAGCGCCTCTGCAAACTAAGGAGTGACTGGGTGGATTAGGGTCCCCCCACCGCCTCAGGATTATTTCTCAACACCTGTGCCTCAGTGCTGTGATTCAAAGGGTGAATCCTGACTCTTTCTTGACTGGCTTAAGAGTTAGGGCCCCAACCACCCACCCCAGCCACAAGGAGAGCACATACCCCTACATGCCTGATTGCCACTTTTAAAATAAAGACAAATTTATTTCTCCTAGGATGGGGAAAATCCTGTGTTTGGAGGGGTGACTGCCTGTGTGACAGGCTGTGGCTGTGTGATTGGGAACTGCCTGGGGAACCCCTGGGGGTCGGCATGAGAGCTGAAGCTCTGGGCACGGACTGTGGTTCAAATATACCCTGCTTCTTTGACCTTGGGCAGACAGTTCTGTTATCCAGAGGTTTGGGTTTCTTCACAACAAAATGGGGGCAATGCTCCTGGCAGAGGGAACTGTACGGCTCAATGAAGCAAGTAGCCTGGGGGCCCTTTAGGGCCAAGGCCTAGCTCCACAGGCCTGTCTAAGCCTCCAGCAGAGGAAGGGCTGTCCTCTGGTGACCCCCCAGACCCAAGGAAGCTCACTGCATAGGGGGAGGACCAGCCTGGGGCTGCCAACTGAGACTGATGGGTAGAAGGCTTAGGGAGGGGGGTACTAGGCAAGGGTGGGACCCAAGGAGAGGGTGTCTGGGAGAAGCACAAGGGCTCAAAGCAAAGAGCAGACAGCAGGCTTAGAGAGGGCAGTTTATTGTCTCAGAGGGGCAGAGCTGAGGGATGGGTGCAGAGCTACTTCCTCCACTCCCCAAGGACGCACTATCCCTTCACCTGGGCCATGGCTCTGGGGGTGACCCACAGAGGGGACAGGAGGCCCACGTTGCCCTCGGGTTCTCAGGGAGGGACACAAAAGTGACCACATGCTTCTCAGACATGTCAGTGGCTGTAAACAGGGCCGAGAGGACCTCCTTGCTCAGGAGAGGGGCTTGGTCCATCCTTGGTCAAGGGAGCACGTGCCCAGCCCCTTTACAGGCCCAATAACAGTCTCAGAGAGAGTCGGGGAAGCTGGGCAGCCACCAGGACAATGTGTTGTCCCCCAGGGCAGGCAAGTGAGCCGTGGGCTCTGTCACAGCACACAAGGACACATACTTGTGGGGAGCCTAGAAGATGGGGATGTAGTTGTCGATCTTGGCACGGTGCCGCTGGGCGATGCACTCGGCAATCCACACAATGTTGCGACACTCCTGCTCCTTGAGCTTCACAAAAGCGTAGAAAACACCAAAGTGGAACTGGTTCAGGAAGGCCAACTTGTTCAGTTTCACCTGTGGACAGAGGCAGGCGTGGTGTGTGCAGGTGGCAGAGTCGGGCCTGAGGCACCAACCCCTCCCTATGATGGCAGCCCTGGCCCTCACCTCATGCTCAAAGAATCGGTCCTCCAGGGTCTTGTCTCCCGGGTTGCTGCCTGCACCCTCAAAGAGCAGTTTGTACTCCTGGCCCAGGGAAATGGTAGGAAGCAGGAACGTGAGTGCAACTGGGTGTAGGTGGGGATGCGTGCACCAGTATGCCCGCCCGCCCACCATCCTGCAGCTGGGGCACTCACTGGGTAGTAGTCAGCCACGTTCTTCACCTGCTCGTAGTCATCAGCCCGAGCCAGCTGGGCCAGGCCCTCAGGGTAGAGCCGACCACAGTGTGGAAAGAGCTTGGCACGGTCCTCCTTAGACAGCTCTGTGCCGAAGGAGTTGATGGTGATGATGAAGGCACGGCGGTCTGCTTCAAACTGTGGGGCCAGTGCACAGGAAGGAGTGGGGAGGAGGCAGCAGCCAGTCAGTGGGCAGGGCTCCCCCCAGGCCAGGGCTTCAGAGAACCTGCAGGTCAGGGTGGGGGTAGGCAGGCACTAACCTCTAGGATTGGGCACATGGCATCGGCCGTGGTCCCGCCCAGAAGGGTGCAGAACTTGTAGAAGGACTCCAGGTAGGCCTGAAGAACATGCGGCTTGCTCAGCCCAGGCAGGAAGGCTCTAGGGGCCTGCCAAGCCTCCTGCCCACAGTCTCCTCCCCAGCCCCTTTCACAATGAGTCCCAACCACACACCCATGGATTGGCCAGGGGCAGCCCCCCTATCAGAGCCCGTGAAACATCCACAAATTCCAACTGCTAATCAGCTGAGCAGCAGCAGCGTGCCACCTCCCCTCACCCAGGAGGATGGAGCAATTTCTGGCTGGCTTTTGGCTTCATGGTGCCATACCTCTGTGCCCTCATCCCACAGTGGGCCAGGCTCAGAGAGGGGCTCTGTCTCCCCACTGCCTTTCCCCAAAATCTCCCCTCCTCAGGCTCAGAAAACCACATGTCAATTGGCTAGTGAGGGAAGGTCACTCTTGAGAGTTCATGGAGGTGGCCCTGGCTTCTCTGGGCACCCACCGCCTCTTTCCTCCTCCCATCCCCAAGGTAGTTCCCAGGCACCACACAACAGGACCAAATTGTCTGCCCAGTTCCTGCTGAGAGATGGTTATTGCCTGCACAGATGACGACGTCAGCCCTGTGGCACAATGGCTGCACACGGGGGCTGCCAGTGGGAATGAGCACTTCCTGCCCAGGCAAATTGGGTCTGCTGGGCATGAGAAGACAAGTGAGCCCAGGGAGCTCCCCTCACGCAGATTCTCCTGGTAGCATGGTCACAGGGACCACAGACCACAGGTCTAGCTCCACAGGCTAGAGACTATTCTGAGTTGAGGGGTTGTGCTGGGAGGCATGGAACACTTTTACACCCTTCAAAGTATGGAGATCTCTCTACCCACCACCAGCTGACTCAGGCCAAGAGCTCCACCGCCCCAAGCAAGAAGTGAGGTGAGACCCAGGAGTCCAGAAGCCTGGCCAGCAGCATTGGGCAGGGTTCCGGGGAAGCCCTGAGGTGACCACTGGGGTCACAGGAAACAGAAGTCTATGACAGGTCAGGGAATAAGAAGCCTAGAAGGGGAAGTAGACCTCAGCACAGCAGATCCCCAGGTATCAGAGGGCCTGCGTGGCAGAAACAGCACCAATCCTACCATGGCTTGGTGGTAGTTTAGTCCCCCCAAGCATTGTCCACAGCTACTTCTTCCCCATGGCCAGCCAAGCTGGCTATGCCAACATCTCTAGGCCTGCCCCAGTAGGGCCTGCTGTTCCTATCTGTTGGGGAAGCTACCAGCCTTTGCCAGCCTGTACTGATCCCTGGGAAGGCTGACCCTGGTGTGGGAGAGCCCAGTGGGATAACTCAGACTCTCTTCTGGAGGCTAGGGCAGCTGAAGAAACTGGCAAGACCCCAAAGATCCAGGTACCAAGGTCACCTCCTAACCCCCACCCTGTCCCCTGCAGTCTGCCAGCCCATGGCTGCTGCACCAGCTGCCTACAATTCCCACCCGCCAGACAGCTGAGGGTCCACCTAATCTCCCATCTGTGGCTACTGGGCTGGGACATAGCCTGACTGGTGGGCGGTCCTGGCATGGTGCCCACAGCATTGGACCGGTGTTTACGAGCTGGTGCCTGGGCAGCCCTCACCAGTGACTCTAGCTAGAACCAGTCAGGCCCGGTGAGGGTGTGGGTGAGGCTGGGGGTACAGCCGCACCTCTCACCCTATCTCAGGGCAGGGAACCCGGCATGGAGCCAGCTGGGCAGACAGGAGCACTCTGAGCGTGCATGCGCACATTCTAGGCTGCTTCCCTATTAGCGGGTGGATCAGAGCACTTGCTTTACAAACAGGCTGAGCCAGGTGTAACCCCCAGTGCTGCCAATGTCTAGCAAGTGGCTTCAGGCAACACCCTATTTTCCTAAGCCTCAGTTTCCTCATTTTACAAATGTGGATACTGACTACCTAGCTCCTAGGGCAGTCCCAAGGATTAAAGTTGCTAATCATACCACCTCAAGTCTCATCCCCTCTAATCTGTCCTCCACATTGCTGCCAGAGGAGACTTTCTGATGATACTCCCCTCTGCTGGGTACCTTCACTGGCTGACCCTCCCCACAGGATAAAGTTCAAACTTCTGGCTTGGCATTCAAGGCTCTGGGTAACAATCCTATGTCTGCCTCTTTTTCCAGACCTGTCTCCTGCTATCCATCTGGAACCTGTACTTTCCCAGCAAACCACCTGCCACTTGGCCCATGCTCCATGCTTGCCTCTGCATGTGCTGTTCCCCTGCCTAGTCCATTGCAACCTCTAGGCAGGCCCTTCACCTGCTACCAGACCACCCCTGCATTCTGGCCTAGACCCCCGCAGGAGACTGGAGGGCCTCAGTTGAGGCTGCAGCTGAGTATTGGCCACCTAGCTCCAACTAGGGCAAAAGAGGACCCTCACTGTTAAAGTGTAACAGACAAATGTTTCCAGGGTTAGGTCAGCAGGGCCCCTGGCCAGTGCTATCCCTCAGCACCACTTCAGGGCCTGCTCACTAGTGACCCATGTTCCTGGCTAGCCCATCAGGGGTCCTGGCACCATAGCTCAGTACCACACCATGGCGAGAGCCCAGTCTGTCCCAAATGTCCCTCACTGGTCTGTGGCCAGCCCCTTCCTTGGCTCCCAGCCCTGCTCCTAACCTCTTAGGGTCAAGGCAGCGCTGACCGAGGAGTGCCAAGCCCATTCTATCTCCCACGGTCACCAGCCTTTGCCACAGCCAGATGGGAAGCAGAAAGTAGGTGGGAGATGAGGATGGTGGGATGTGGCAGTGGCTCTAGGTCTAGGAACTGGAGAGGGGCATGGGTACCTGCCTATGCCTGGCTGGGTCCCCCTCTGCACTGGAAGTGAGCACACTGTTGCCTCTGATCAAGTGCCTATACTTGCTGACAACAGCCCAGGTGAGGTGAGCCTGAAAGCTACAGCCTGGGTGGTGGCCCGTGACCCTCCTGGATGCAGGGGGAGCGGCCACCCAGGCGCCAGCTCCAACAGGCCAAGCTATAGAGCACCAGCCCCTCCTGCTGATCTTATCTGGGCCTGCCACGGGCGCCTGGGGATGGAGAACCTGTTCCATGCAGCCTTGCACCCATCACGGAAGCCAAGAAAGTAAGGGGATAAGCCCCCAGGATAGGGGCCTAGTGCAGCTGCGTCCTGTCCCAGCACCCCATATAAATCAAGCCAACACGCCCAGGGCCCGCCCCACCTGCAGGCCAGTACCCTACTGCTCCCCACTGTGGGGGGCACTACCTTGTAAAGTGTGTTGCGGATGATCTCAATGTTCATCTCATCGAGGTCCTGCTCTGAGATGCAGTCCTGGAAAAAAGC